GCCTTTGACATAAGCCACTCCATTGTATATTTCCATGGTGGGGAGTGAAGACGTGGTACAAAACAAACAGCAGTGATAAGGCTGTGCAGAGGAAGCGTTGTGTACGGCAATCCTTCCAGCATCCATCCAGGCATTCCCTTCCGCAGGAAGCGCCCTCGCTCGGGAATATGCAGGGAATGTAACCTTTTGTTTAGAGTACGATATGCGCCGGGATGCTGCCTGCCGAGCGGCTCTTTGCGGGCTTTCGCCAATAAAAAAGAGGCTTATCTAAACAGAAGGGTGAGCAGCACATTGTCTCCAGATCTCAGGGCAGGCCTAATGATTCACACGCCTCAACTCCCTGCAGTAAAATCAGCCGTTATTTTCCATCCGCCTCTGAGACAACAGCCCTCCACCTTCTCAACCAAACTCCAACCTGTGACAGCTCAGCGTGCTCATAAATCTATACTTATGAAAGCACTTACGCTTTTTTTCGTGTATCAGAGCATATTCATCTGAGAACCACAAAACACTCCCTGGTCAGCCCATATGCGCTACACAATTGTTCATACCCCAAACTCATGATCTCATTGTGACACCACCTGCAATAATGTAAATCACAACAACACAAAGACAGACATGATCCTTTTTAACCATATAATCATACTCAAACCTTGCACAGTGCACAGCGTTCACCTAAGCTGACACTGGTAATGATGGTGATTTGATACAGGCTACAGTGTTTCACAACAACCCTGGCAGAATAAACTGCTCTTATTGCTGTGTCACTGTGATAAAGAAATGTCAATGACGAAAAGCCAAAGGCCTAAATATTTCCACCCAATGAAGTTATCACAAAGACTACAGCTCCTGCATGAACATCGCAGGATCAATCCTAGCCATTGATGATATTGAAAAGATCAATCATTGTAGGCTAGAGCTACACTATGTAAGATTTAAGGATTTGGAGACCTCTCTGGTGGAAATATGTAACTGCATGCAATGTGCAGAAGATCATTTTGTAATGTGGGTTGTGCTTCGGAGTCCTTCTGATGATTGAGAGCGTGTTGGAAAAAGTTTTCAAAAGACGTGTCTTCTGAGGATGTAAGTGAATTATCTACTATTGTCATCATTCCGCTATTCTTCCTGGGGTCCATTAGACATACCATATGATACCATAGCATGTGATGTTAATACGTAAAAGCATATGATGTGGTCTGAAAAAAAAATCGACACCTCCGAATTTTTAAATTATTATTACAAGATTTACAGGTTGACTCGCAGCAGCACACACACACCATATTTTAGCAATACTCAGTAATGCTACTACTGCTCAAAAATCAGGGTAGGGTAACTTGGAGGAAAGAAGCCTCATCCCTCATTATTTTCTCTCATGTTCAAAAATGATCAAATGATGCAGCCAAATCTAATGTCAACATATTGACTGAATGGCTATAAACGGATCTAATTCATCTTTGTCATCTGATAATAGTGATCTCTGCATTTATATAAAATTGGACGAGAAAAGTTTTTAAAAATATGTGCATGGGGGCTGTAGAGAGAGCAATACATGCAGCTTTGAGAAGGGAACAAAAATTCCCCCCAAGACAAAAGTCAAAAGGCCCTCTTTAGCATACTGCCATAAATATATTACATAGATTTTCTTCACAAATACAAACTTGTTTACTGGAGCTTCACTGGCAAGCAGCTACTAGCTTTACATGCTACCTACAGATTGTTAGCTAGTATTGGGCAAAAATTTTAGCTGTCTTGTGGGAAATGAGTTTTACAGACTTTTTCATCATATGCACTAATTACTTGCACTTATCCATTAAATGCTACAGCTTAGTTTGTAGTGTTACTGTTGCATTATATTAATGTAATGATAAAGTCCTGTGACTACTTCATTGGTCAAATTAAGGCTCAACCAGAAGTGCATATACTTCACATTTAGCAAGCACAGAGTATTTAACATAGACAGGGGCTGTGCCAGTCCTCTATGCATGAACCTGTAAAGCAACAAAACTAACAGCCTTTTCTGAACACCACCATTACACTCCCAGGCAACCAGTTTTCCATTTTTTTAATATTATTTTGATTTTCAAAGACATTTTCCAAACTTTGGCAAATAACTAAGGGGTTGAAGTATGAAAACAGAGTGAAGGACATTCTTAACAGAAGATGGACATCTTGACTGTTTATGCGATGCACGAAGTCCATGACCCTCTAACAGACAAGTGGATAGAGTGTGCTGATTGTACTGTAATGGTAATCAAAGAATAAACACGAAACAGTGCAAACAGTGATGCTGTAACACATACACCAACTAGACTGAGAGGAAAAAAGACCATAATATGGACCTTCACACTGTGATTATGTATCAAGTTTTATGAAAAACAAAAACAGAGATTGTATTCTGGCACCGTCTTTACAAAGCAACAGAAAGCATGACTTAACACGTCAGTGCACCACTGCGGCTCATGGCTGTGATGAACTCTATTCAACATGAACGTTATGCTAGTTTAATTAGCATACATACTTCATTGCCTATATGAAGTAACACTTCACACATTTACAGAAAGAGCAGAAATGTATGGACTGGTTAAAACAGGAATTCCACAGATTTTTTCCACAATTTTTTTTCTCATGGTTCTGCATGGTTAAGATGTATTCAAGAGCTGCTCTCTCCCAGAGAAACTTAAGTCAGAATTGGTCACAGTGGTGGTGATGGGAACCAGACGTCTAAAGGTTTAATGCCTCTAAAAGCTTCTTCACCCAAAGCTAATACATGAAATGGTTACGAATACGCTGCATAATGTCTGAAACATTGTTTTATGATAATTTTGTAAGAAATGTTTGGCCTAAAATATAGTTTTTAAAATATAGTTTTAAAAGGTAGAGAAGCACAAGGAGGACCTAAGGCAAAATATTCCCCAAAGAAAACACTATTTTACCATTATCTACATATTGTCACTGCCCAAAAAAGTATCTGCATTCTTTGATTTTTTTTTCTTTGGGTACAGAAGTGTTCTTTACACTGTATGAAAATTTTATGATGATTGGACCAATAGAAATGCTCCAAAATTGCTGCATATTAACTTATATTAAAAGTAAAGAACATTTTTGTCCTCTTGTATAAAGTTACCATTTTGGAGATACTTATTTTTCTTTGGACACCAACAATATTGGAAACTAGAAGAAACAAGCAGGTTCAGTAGTCGTTTTGAATACTAAATAAAAGCACTATATCTGAGTTGTAGAGATATCGCGACCTCTGGTTTCTATCATCTCCACTGCAAAGTAGAGTCGGTAAGTTTCTCTATACTGCACAATTAAACATCCATTTAATCCACTCTGAATAACACTGTTTACATCTCAAAGATTGTAATATGCAGAATTCTTTGACAATCTGAGGATTTTTCCCCTTTAACACAGTTTTGCGCACCCTCACACAGTGGTACTGGTATGGACAGACTGACACAGGACAGAATGCCCATGTTTGCTGTAGGTTCATGTTGAAATTTGCAATGAATCACAATAACAACAACTAAGCCCTTGATTAAAGGACAACTGTGACATTTGGGCAAACACGCATCACTTGGATAACCTACAGTAAATGCGAGGAGACATTTCTGGATTGAAATGAATCTTTCTATGAGAAATGTGGAGACACAGAATGTCTTACCAGCTGTTTAGAACAGCAGCCAAGGGTACCAGAGGGATTCCAAAACAAAGACTCAAAATTGCATCAAAATTGCGTTAATCTTTCCGGGTGGAATTATTTGCTATCAATATGGTAACAAGTGGCTCTGAAAGCCATCAAGTTAAAAGTGTCATTGCAATTACCTTCTGTAATGCGTTTTAAATTCTCCCCTCACCAGAGCACCTCCTTGATTGTGCGCCAGTTTGCTCCCGTAAGCTGAACTGAGAGCAGTGTTGCCTGTTCCTTAGCAATTAAGATAGAGCTGATATATAATCTAATATCAGTATAAGAGGCAACTTCTGTTCCAAGCTTCAAAGGATGAAGTGGAGCTAACTGTTTCTAGTCTTTTACGTCAGACCACTGAACAAAGGTAACAACTGTAATACCTCTGAGCGTTTAAAGCACAAAAACGTCACTGCTGACACTTCTATTTCAAACGAAAACAGACAAAGAAAAAAGTTTTACAACATTCTCAAAGGATATGTAGCTCTTCCTGTGTAGTTTCTTTAGAATCACAGAAATACATAAGTAACCCACCTGCAACATTTCAGTTCTATGGCAGCAACAATGGAAGCAACTCTACCTCCAAAAATGACTGAAGGTAAAAGCATATTGGACAGTTGCATGAGAAAAGCATCTCAGCTGCCAACACAGCCTGGACAGCTTCAGCCAACTGTTCATACAACTGATAGTAAAAGATGACATATGAAGTATATTCGGTCCTGTGAAACTGTCAAGTGGAGGTGAGTTTAGATCAAGTCTTATAACTGATATCTAAAAAAGGTATCAGTTATAAGTTACATCACAATAAACAATATCTTGGCACCTTAAATCTAGTCATCATCATCATCGTAATCATCATCATCATCATGTTAAACCACTTAATCCAGATAGGTTCGAGGTTGCAGGAGGTGCTGGAACCTATTCCAGTGGTCCTTGGGCGGAAGGCACATAGTCAACATACCTAATATTTTCATTATGAGATGGCTGTTAGAGATTATAAGATTACTTAACTTATTTCTAGATGTCTTACATGCTTTAAGTAATTTTACCTACAGAAATATTCTTATTTTATTGCATGTTTCGGGATATAATGCAGTCAATTTTGTTTAATACAAGAAATAATGCTGGAACTCAGCAAAACCAAAAGAATACCAATAGAATGAGAATGTCTATCAATAAAATGACTAAAAACAAGTAAAAATGTCTAGAAATAAGTTAAATAATCCCAAAATGAGAAATATCAGACATATTGACCAGATTGAAGACAATTTCACTTGTCTTTGTTTTGCAATGTATGAAACGGAAATCTTACAAATCAATCAGTGAGTGTTTTATCAGACATTCACATACTATTCAGTGCATCATCACTTAGAGAGATATACACCATGATTCATTTTCATTTGTACATGAACAGCACTATGCAACATTTTCACCTCTTGCTCAACAGTTGCACATGAATGGTTCTCTGCTGGTCATCCAGCTGAACCAGCCTTATGAAAACATTAGAATAAAGAGTATCCTGCACGTTTGACCTTAGTAAACCTGCATATTGCTTCAGCGAGTCACTTTGGAAAACACATTTACCAAGCTGAAGTACCAGCATACAAATGAACTTATCACACTCCACACCTAGAACCGTTAAGTAATGTTCATTCCTCTTAATATTTTATGAAAATTTAATAGAAAAAAAGTCTGCTCATCACACCCTTTAGGGCAGAGGGAATGGGGGGAGCTTTACACAGATTCACTCGATCCATGTTAAATAGCTGCACTCCACTGACACGGTGGCAGCTGGAGGGTCCTTCTCTGAGACAAGCTGCATACTGAAGTACTTTATCAACAGGGAAAAAAAACAAGATTTTTTGCAAATTAAGGGCACGACATTTTGCATAGCTACAACAGCTATCGAGCATTCATTAACAATGCGTGACATCGACATAAATCATTTATAAGGCTTCACTGACAGATTACTTCAGAAGCATGAGGCTTTTCAGCAACTAAGACACTGAGGAGAGTTACGAGAAGTCATGCACTCTGCACGCACACATGATGCTAAACATAATATTTGTGCAAATGTCAAGTACAATTTTGGAGTTTGGATTTACACATAACACAAGACAAAATTCATTCGTGGACACAGAAACAAGCTTTTGGACGGTTTTTGAGTTGTCAGAATAGGTGGTTTTGTTTCTGTGTTTCTATAGCCATAACTGTAGGACTTCTTTATGAAATACTCTCAGACGGTGAATCGCACTATGCAACTAGCACACCAGCAGACTCACTTTTTGTCCCTTTGACACGACTGATTTGTACATTCAGTAACAGGTGAACTGCCAGAGAGGCGTAGGAGTTTGGAGAGCAGGTTAAATTTGGATGACACTGGTAAGTCAGAGCGGAAACTCAGAGGCAGTTTCATTTCCTGCTTGAACTTTGGGTTAAGCTCTTTGAGCACAGTTGTCAATCTGATAGGCTAAATATTTTGGTTTCTCTCGGTTGATTGAGTCACTGTCCCTTTTGTTGTGTTCCATCAGCTTTTTACAAGCTCTTTAGTGAGCGCAAAGAAAAAAAAAAAATGTTTCTGCCTGCCGCTCCCAAAACGTACACCGACATCAAGGCAGCGTTCCACAATATGCACACCGCCATGAGTCACGCTGTTCTTTGGAAAGAAAATACATTCGTATTGTTTTCAAGTATTTTCAACACAAGCTGACATCACAGCAAAGCTGCACGTTTACGCAGAGGCCACCATCCTACATTAAACCTGCAGTGAATAAAGCATAGTGGACTGGAGCAAATCTGACATAAGCAGGCCTTCTTATTTCTCACTCTCGTTTCCTTAGGGGCATTTTTCATGGCACTGGAAGTATATATACTCCATATACTTGTTTGACAAGGACTGAATCAATTGCAGAAGGCTACACATTCTGGTTACACTCCCTCTCCAGAAACACCCTCTGACCAAAGCTGTGGTCATAGCAGTAGGTGTCTAAAGTTCCACAGTCTATATGGATGCATCAGCCCCTAAATGCTATGATGGTGAACGATTGAGAGATGTATGTTGGGAAGACTGCATAGCTCCACCTGGTAATCATCTCAAACCTTCAGTTTTCCTCCATCAATGGATTTGACATCCAAGTCTGCAAGTTCCTCATTATCGCACAGGCCAAATCACGGTTTATTGCTGGCTGCTTTGGTTTTGCTGTTACTGCTGGACTTCAGTTGGGTCATCTCAACATCCGTGGCGGCATCTTGAGGGAGGCTGCTGCGCATGCGCTCGACGGTCTTCTGGTAGGAAGCCTTCTCTTGCTCCAGCGAGCGGATCAGGTGCTTCATCTGACTCTCGCGGGCCAGAAAGCTCTCCACACTGCTCTCCAAACTCTGGATCTTCACCCGCGCAGCCTGCCACAAACATCAAGTATTAGAAATACTTATCAGGGAACGAAAATGGACAATGTTTTTCACAGAGCGCTAACGAAAACCAAATCACTTTTAACTTCCAAAATTAAAGCTTCATTTAAAATGTGCTAGATAAATAGATTAGCCTATTATCTTGCTCCATTTACTCTTATTGTTAGTGTTGGGGGTGATCTTGTACAAAATAATGCATTACAGTGACCTGATTGCTGTGTCCTGTAACAAAGTAGTAACTAACACATTACTGTTAAGTTTTTGTAATCACTGCAGTTACTGTCTTTATACGAATTACGTTACTTACATGTTTCTAACAAGGCAATATTAATTACGTGTGATGCACTGAAATCATAAATTTCCTCTATATAGATTATTGGTGTCTGTCCTGGTGATTATGTGCCTTTGTGAATGTGAGCAGCGCAGCAGGACACTGTGAACTTTAGTTATCTGTCTAAAAATTGATGAATACCTAATTGATGAAAATCATAATTTTAATCAAACACAACTCACTATGTCTGGTAAAATGGCAGGGATAGTGACAGGCCTTTGAAATGATATTTACTGTGATTGACTATTTTTTTCCAAAGGACAGAAATTTGTTTTGGTTTCAGAGAGTAACACAGGAGTAAAGTAATGAGAAATTAGATTACTTTTTACAGTAATCTAATAGGTTAAGAACGTAACAGGTAAAGTAATCCCATTACAGTCTGAGAGATGTAAGTGGTAACTTGCAATGTATTAATTTTTCATTACCCCTACACTGTTTGTTGAGTAAATGCAACACTGATTGACTTCATATTGCTATTTTTAACAAGTGGCTTTTAAGAAGGATTTTCTTCTTAGGAACTGTTGGTGAATGAGGCCCTATGTTATCAGCTAGTTAACCAGATTTCAAAATAAAATAAAGCTTCACCTGCTTTTGTTGCCTATTTCAATCACATTCTGTGAAAAAGCACTTCAGTCTCAAGATAACTGTATGTCCCTACGTTAATTACTATTATTGGACTATCTGCAGGTCTGTCTGTAGTCAGTTGGAGACACTTGAGACTCATGTTCGTTAGCAACCACAGGGTGGAGAGAATGAGACATTAAGATGGATGGTGTCTGGCTGAAGACTGATTCTTTTATTAAGATCATCTGTCACGGTTTCTCTTTTAGTGGGTAAATCGAAGCTCTATACTGTTCAGTGACACTTTGCCATTCTGTTATAAATTCTGATCCATAGCACCATTTCTTGTCTTTAGTTCTTCACAACTAACAGTGAAAAACAAAACCCAAGTCTCAAGTAGCTACACATAAATTTAGGAGATCTCAAGCTGCTTCTTAAAACCTGGCCAAAAGAATGGAACAAAAATAGACCACCATATCTGCGAGTGAGTATATCTGCAAGGGTTCCCAAAAGTCTGGCTCAAGAGAAGAATCTTTGGCAGAACATGCCTTGGCAGTGACGTTTGAATTGTGTTTCTTTGTTTTGAAGAACTCAGCGAGGAGTTGTGTAATGCTGCCACCTACTGGCAAACAGGATACACACACAATGGCTCTATGATTCCTATACAACATTTCTACGATAAAATGCTCTGTAATAATTTCACGTACTTATTTTTTAAAAAGTTATCACATAGATGAATTAGTTATAGATGATTTTTTCAATATATTTAATAAAAATAATCAAAAAATCTGGGTTAAAAAAAAAATACACACCTGCAGTTTCTCCAGCAGCTCCATATTTTGCTTCTTTAGCTGGGCATTGGTCTTCTCTAGCTTGTCCAATCTGTCTGAGTCCTCTGAAACTGGAGGGCCATCCATCATCTCGTCCTGTAGAACATGGTACTCCACCTCATAGGCATGCAGCTGCTTGGAGATGTCCATCTCTAAAGCCTGACAAACAACAGAGCACTCTGGCCATTACACAGATTTCCCTCAGGGATCAATAAAGTATATCTGCATACTATGAGCGATGAAAGACAATCACTCTGAGGAGACCACTTTGTAGAATCCCATGGAATTTGGGAAGTTCAAGACAAAACAAACCTCATGGTCAGAAGAAGAGTGTGCAGTAAAGTGAGAGAGAACTAATAGTTCCTGTTATCAGTTTAGACGTGGCTTCCATTATATGAGTGACACATAATAGGAAATACCTCTGGATTACCTTAAAGCCACTCTATGGTCATATTTGTTCAGCAAACAGTCACATGGTATTGTAATCTTATTCCTGTGACAAAATGCTGTTGGCAGGGTGTGGTTTTCTGATTTAAGCCATATTTGAGCTGAATAATTAATAACCTGAAAAAGGTACTATAACTTAACTGAGTACCAGTGTGATCCAGGAATTTAATTTAGGACAGACAAATCATGCGGTATGTTATTGTTTTTTACTTTTTAAGAGTGCTGCTTGTGTGAGCTTCTGTGCCTAATTTGGGCTATCTGTGGTAATTTGGGGAAATTCTGCAGGATACTTTATCTTATACAAATTGGCCAGAAAAATCCCTTACAATTTACCTTACAGAACCTCCCTTGATAAAACTACTCTAACTCCAATAGTGCTTTGCTGTTTCACAGGATTTATTGCTTAGCCAGCTAACTTTAAACTTAGTTCAGAGGTGGATCCCTCCGATTAAATTTTTCACAAATTGCTGCATGTCATCATCTATTAATTTCTTTTATAGTACACATAAAATGAAGACATTAAGATCAATCACATTAAAAATGACACTTTTCAGTGGAGGACAAGAAAATCAAATTACTAAACAGGAAGAATATAAGCTAAAGCAATGGCCAAAAAGCAACCCTGTTAACACATGGGCAGCACAACAACATTACTTTCTGTTGTTAGAATTCCTTTTTTTCATATTTATGTCATATCAGTACTTGGTCCCCCACTCAAAACTTCCCTCCCTCGACTCTTAATGCAACTGATTGTTCACCGAAACATTCATGCTTCTATGTGCATGCACATGGAGATTAATCATAGCTAATCCAGGGTGCACAGAGAAAGCTGTTAACCACCATTGCAAAATGAATTAACCGCAGCTGCAAGGTTGTTAGGCTTCGTAAAGCTGAAACATTAGTCAGGAACACTAACTCAGTCAAACATGCTTTGCGATACTGGCCCCAGTTCTCAAAGGCTTTCTACCTTAGTGATTGTCTCTTCCATCTGGTTCTGTGTGAGGGTGGGGATGGTGGTTTTAAGGTAGTCAACGATGCTCTCAAAGCTGTCACACTCCAGTATCTCTCCTTCGTGGCTGCTCAGAAGACAAAGGGCCACCTTGAAGATCACCTCCGTGCCCTGGACAAACAGGAGGTCTACCAAACACAGCCCATATATATTCATGAGAAACATTCAGACAGTAATGAGTAGCCATAAACATAGCATACCTGGCTACAGGACATACAGGACGTTTTTATCAACACGATTATTCTTATCAATACCGCTTATCAATTCAGTACTTCACAGATACGCTGCTTAGATTCATTATTATTTGTTTCACTCTCTATGCCATAAGTGAATGTGGTTCCTTACCTTGTTCTGTGAGTGTGTATGTACACAATACTGTGCAAAAGTTAGACACCACCCTTCTTTTATTTAATTTCCAGTCAAAAGGACATAAAGTGTCAAGAAAAAAAAAGCAGAAAACATACTTAACAGAGAAATACACAGACGTCTCAACAACTAAATATAATTTCAAATTTTTCATTATTTAGTGTATCCACTCTTTGCCTTCATTACAGCTTCCATTTATTTATGAAGACTTCAGCTTTTCAAAGAATTATGCAAGGACATCTCTGAAGTTCACTCTTAGAAGTTGGTTGTGTTTTCTGCTTCTCACAATCCAAGTAAACAAAAACTTATTCTATAATATTGAGATCTGGACTCTGGAATGGTCAGTCCATTGTTCGGATAACACCAGCAGCTTCTGGGTTTTCTTATATTTTTGTCTACTTCCTTTCTTTACAGCCACACATCCTTTCAGACTCATAGTGCTGTGTTGGCTTCTTATTTTTACTTCGTTTTGACTTTCAAATTCGTTGTACAGTTGGGTCATCTTATATCTAATTCCCTAATTCTCCTCAGAGATATGTCTCCTGAAAAATGAATAACTTGTACAGAATATTGGTTTGAACTTTCAATAAATTCAATAAATGAAGTGTGGTCTCTTATGGCTCCACAGTACTGTATGCGTGAGCGAGTAAGCACAGCCCCACCCCTCAGACAGTTGCGACATTTCCTTAAATTCTCCAGCACTGATTTCCGTACATTCGTCCAGCACTGACAGTAGAACGAACCATTTACATTGGACCACAGCAATCCAGTTTTCTACTGATTTATGACCTGGTCCCATTTAGAGTCTGGTTTCAGGTGTCACCCCTACTGACTGCACTTTAATTCAGTATTCTTTACACCTGATTGTGAACACTAAAAGATTTAATGTGCACTGTATACATCGCTCAAGCTGCAAGCAGGCTCACATACCGAAGATGCGGGAGACAAAGCCCAGAGGGAACTGCGAGGCGTAGAGCGTGAGGAACCAGGGCGCGGCGTACAGGCTTGGGCTGATCTCGTGCTCCTCCAGGTGTGAGTACAGGCCACGGTGGTAATCATGCAGCAGCCGTGACAACTGGTACATCTGGATCTACAAAGAGAGAGAGAGGGAGAGTGTGGGTGCACCCACACTAAGCATGGTGAGCTCTGTCCAGGAGGAGCAGGCGAAGGCCGCTTATGCTGCTGGCTCTGTCGCCAGCCTGGAGGATTAAACATTAGCGCAGCTGATGAATAACCAGAGAGGAACAGCTGAAGACGGAAGGCTAACAGAGGAATCAGTGTAGGAGGTTTGGGGAAGAGGTGGGGTAAAAATGAGTAAGTGCATGTTGTTTGCTTTTGAAAGCTGAGAGGACACAGCTGAGAGGCGTACCACTGAGGGGGGGAGGTTGGCATGCCGTTAATGCTTTACTAATGAAGAATACTTGTTGCTGCGGTCGTAGGAAATCCTCTGAAATGGTAACTTTACAGGAAAAAGAAAAAAAATGTTGTAACAATCTGATAATGTAACCTAAAAACCATAAAAAGGTGCACTTTATTCACAAGGCTACACGACACCTACATAATGTTTTTTTATGACAACTAGCATAAACCTACACAGATATTTATAAAACCTTATTCAGTGCCAGTTGTCATAACGCTGCCCGAGGTGAGATAAAAATGGACTAAAACAGCCTTTATAACAACTGAGGTTCGTTGGAATAAGTTTAAACAGGTTTATATTAGGTGTCAAAGGCTTTGTAGGTGTCATGCAGCCTTACGAATGCTGCCTTCAGTAAAGTGTTACCGAATATTCTTTAGCTCATTATAAGTCAATAAAGTGGTCTGGAATATTAAAATATACCGTTTTATAACTGTAATCACATTGTTGCTGCTGGGTGAATATCTGCAGTGCAAAAGAGGTAACTATCTAACTTCTCATCTAACATTAAGCCCCATTCAGAGTCACCTATTGTTCCCCTGTACTCTTCAAAAAAAAAAACCTGTCTGGCAACATTCTTCATGACCATGGCGTACTTGGCAAACACATTAGATCCATAATAAGTGGAAAAAACATGGCATACAGGAACGAAAAACGCAAACTCTCTCTTTCTCACACAGAGTCCTCCTCACCTGCAGGGAAATCATATCAGGGCAGTACTGGCGGCGTAGACCCAGGTCATACATTAGGAATTTGAGCGTGTCAAAGGCCTGCTCCTCGCTCATGTGCAGCAGCAGTACACCAGCTACAAAGCTGATGCCTTGGCAGTAGCCCACCTCCGTGTCCAGCAGGGAGTAGGCTTTCAGTAAGTTATAGAGGGACAGCTGACCCGCGCCCAGCTGAGCGCTGAAGTACTGGTGCGTGGGGAACGTGCGGCCTACAGGAGAGAAGAGATAACGGTCAAACAAAGATGAATCATAAGTAAATAAGCAAAAATATAATGCCATCCTTTATCAAGGCTGTCCAATGCAACAACATTGTAGCACGTAGTAGAAGAAATGAATCCTGTCCAAATACAAGACAGAACAGTTGCACACATGCAAAGTCCTAGAGCTCATGATAATGGTAGTCAATTATGTATTGGTGAACTATTCTCAGTACATGGAAAGTGAAGTATAAAACATCTGGTAATTCCAACACTATAGAACAAATTCAGATGTCTATAAAAAGTTACATTTAGCAATGTAGCAACGTATAAATGCACAAAAGTCGTTCGGGGCTGTGCTGTCAGAGGAGGCTAAGATTTAGGATTTTACAGTTTGCCTGCTGAAAAAATTAGCCACCCGAAAAACATCTTTTGATTCAGAGGCTGAGGCACCTCCTCCTGTGCGTATTGCCTTTGCTATCTTTAGCCTGCACCCCTTTTTAGAATTAACTGATTATGTCAAAACTCAAATAACACTGAGTCTTACCCTTCAGGTAATAAATTATTTTGCTTCTTGTTTTGAAATCTATGATGGCTACCATACTCAAAATCCTGCTGGTGTTCATGTGCGGGTTTCATCAAATTTAGCAAAGCACAAAACTTCTTGAGTGCTAGTAGTGTTTGTTGTAGGGAGTCTGAATTATTCCAGAGAATAAAAAAAGATTTCACAAAATGAACATTACAATATTTTACATGCTGCTTCTGTTTTTCTGCAGTTGAAATAACAAATTGTTTTACTAATTAGAAGAATTATTATTACATATTTATAAATTTATAATTTTGAAATTTTTACGTAGTTTTAATTTCATTGCTTATTTTAATTTGTGCTACAATACTTTTACAATACTATTCTAGCAACAGTGTTACACGCTAAAAAAGTTAACATACAGTTCTGTTTACTAATTACCAATAAAACTAACAAATATTATATCCAGTGTCTAGTTACACAAATAGGAAAATCTTCCTGTGCTTATACACTTTGTATAGTCTAGTGCATGTGTGAGTAAAGGCTTCAAGCAGCTACTCTTTACTAAGGAACACATTTTTGTTTAATTTAAACATAACAGTTTTGTTATTTAGTATCAGATATAAAAAAGTTTATTTGAGATTACTTAATGACACAGTCTGAGGCAAGCGTGTGAAGAAGATTTGCATAATGACTAACTGGTGGGGTACAGACTTTACACAGAGAAGCTTTCATGCAACTTTAGTCTGCTGTTATTCTGATCCACGCTTGCATAAAAGTTTCACCGGATACACCCATCTGAAGAAAATTTTATCAAGCATGTCTTGACTGATCACGACTATATTTGGAGTATGGAGAAAACTGTAAATTTCGGTGTCCTGCAGCAGGGGTTAGGGGTGTGTTAGGGGTACTGACCCAGGTCTACCAGGATGGCGTGCTGCTGGGCAGTCAGCTGCTTCAGAAGGTCCTGGTAAGGCGTGTCGGGAGGCTGCTGTCGCTGAGGTAGGCGGTGACGCAGGCGATACTGCTGGGAGAGGAGCAGCCACACTTCACCACGACGACTCTTAGGCACACCTGCGCACACACATCCACATACACAAAATTTATATTCAGACACCAACGTTATACAGCACAGCTGAACAATTTTAAATAGATTAAAAACAAATGTTTACATGCATTAAAAGAGAATTTAAAAAGAAAGAGAGGGTTAATAGATATTAATTAGGCAAATTCTTTAGACTGATAATAGATCCTCTTTAGTCACCTATCAACCATATTTTAGGCAAGCCTAAAATGTAGGATGTGGCCCATCAAAATATCAAAACAGTTCTGGCTCTGAAACTTAATTGGTGGAGCCATGTTCAAAGCAGCTGTAAAATGCCTTAAATATGCATGAGTGCACACCTCAAGTGTATTCTGTATTAATTTTATATTTATACTCTGAGATAGTAAAAACAGTTTCTTGTATGGACCGCGGAATGTAGCACTGATAGACTGGTCGGGCCAGGCATTAGCATGTACACAAAGTAAATGGCCCAAAACATTATTAACATACCCTACACAGGAACTGGTTGTGTGTAAGCTGAGGGGCTGAAACTATACGCTCATATGACCCGAAAACTAATAAGTTTCTATATTCTAAAATTCTTAAGTTGCATTGACCACTCATTACCAGCCCAAGTCAAAATAAAAGGCCTTAAAATGCTGGGGCTAGCTTTGGCTCAGTGTACCTCAGAGACATATAGATATATAGATATAAAGTAGAGCTGGGTTAGCATGTGAGAGGAGTGTGGTGGTACCTTGGCAGAGAGCAGTCTGGATCTCCTCTTTATCCCACTGCACCTTGGTCCGGCAGGGCACATTCAGCTTCCTCTCCCACAGAGCCTGCACCTCTTTAGGACACTCACCCACTTCCTGATAGTCCAGCTTCATCTTACGAATGTGCAGCTCATCCCGACTGGCTGCATGCAGAAGACACATAATATTAGCTACTGGTCTCAGCTTTTAATCTCTGAATGATGCTGAACAAGACTAGCGTTATCATGATTTTACTGCTGCATACTGCAATTACAGCTGTCTTTATTATTCAATTAAACCTTAAAAAACATACTAATTAAAAGTTCTCAGTAGATCAGGAATGAGTAGTTAATGAATTCTAGAATAACAATGCGTATTTTAAATAGTCCTACTTATCTCTAATACAGTAAAAATCAGAGCCTGATAAACCCCCATTTATATTACTTTTTGCAGGGCAGTTTTCTTGCTGTAAATGGTGTAAGCCGTCACTTAAGGTTCTCAAGGGCTTGGCTTTTGTAAAATTTATTCAGTATTGTTTGTAGAAAAAGCACAGTGAGACTTCTTTTTAGATTGCTATTAACTATTAGTTCTTTGTCTATTATTGCACTCAACAAAATACAATTTTGGGGTGGATTGTGGGCCTCAAAATAGGATGTTGCTTAGGGCCAGGAAGAATTCAGAAACCATCCTGATGTGTTAGCATATGGTGTTGTATTATTATTATTTTTAAAGAGGTCTTGTCTAAGGCTTTATAGTTTATTTATTTCCATTAAAGTATGTTCGAATCTGTAAAAGGCTACATATGGTTTGTAACTGTCCTATTAAGTCTATTTTTATTTTTTACATTTGTTGGATCACTTGAATTTCCTCAGAAATGCATTTGCAACATCTGACACTGTTCATCAGGCTCACAACATTAAAATGTATTAAGGGACTCCTTTGCAAATGGCATCTTTTTGTGATAATATATACAATAATACTGTTGCAAAAGCCAAAGCTGTGATAACGGTTAACAAACAACATGTTGTTCAGCCGTGGCTAATGTGCAGAAAAAGCCTCTCAAACCAGCTGTTAGAGAACAGAGTAAAAGAGTAAAGGGACTGACAGAGAAGAGTCAGTCATTATGATGCTGTAACACGCACAGTGCAGTTAGAGATGCAATAGAAACTTCAGATACTGTTGCATGGCTGCTTTGAGACATGAACATTTTCACTTCTATCAATGAGACAAAACAACACTCTCACATCCAAGAAGTGCACAAGAGAGTAACTAAGTAACTAAACAGGGAACAGCAGCTCTGCCAGCTTATACACTATACGCTGCAATTACAAATGCATTAAGCTTCTAATCAAAAGAAATTCAATCCACACAGCCAAGAAGAAAGACTAAACCACAAGACAAACTGGCCAACGAGACATTCTAGCCATTAGGGATGCTAAAAGATGAACAATAGACAAAGCAAGTGGCTTATTTGATTTGGTCATATTTAAAACTTGGTTAGTTTATCTGCATATGAAGATGCAATGCAGTCTCTTTCTCTCTATTTTTCAGTGAGGTCATCAGCATGCTATGAACTACAAGCATCACAGACTGTTTAGCCAGAGTCTAGCCTTTCTGGCCTTTTCTTACCTTCTGTACAAAACAAGTCTTTTCAGGTACTGCAGATTCTCCACACAGTGGACTCAGATACATAAAGCATCACATAAAGGAGAGATAGGAAGGGAGTTATAGAGAATACAGCTGTCATTTGAAGCCAAACATTACTGTGATGCCCAACAGAGGGCAATATTTCACAAGTTAAAAGTGTTTTGTTATAGCTAAATCCACAACTGTCAGCAGAACTTTAACACTAACATACTGAAAACACTAACATACACAAACTGTCCACTGTAGTTAAGAGGTCACTGAAATCAAAATGTATTTATTAGATATACTTGAACTTAATCCAGGGATTCCAATCTAAATATATCTCTGTCCTAGAATCTCAAACAGAGGCGATGAGAGAGCTGTTGACCCACTAAATACAGGTGAAACAACATCTAAGCAAAAGTAACCAGAGCTAATGCGGGCCGCCCGTTCCGCGCCCCTGCTGCAGCTTGTGGAGGAACATAGACTAGAATGATAACAGCACATATGTCAAACCCCAGATAAACATGTAATGACAGAATCATGTGCTAATCTTGTGTTTGTGTGCCTGAGGGTGTGCATGTGAGGGGGAATAGTGGCACAGGGGTGTGTATACAAGGCATGTCATAGAACATAATGCACAGCATTATCAGCACAAACAAGTTGAAAAATGTGCGTGTGAGTGTGTGTGCGTGTGTGTGTATATGTTTGTTTTTCATACATTTTCAGAACAAAACGGTCCAACATATTTCAATATGTTTCATGTTTATATACACACACACTGGCCAGGGTCACAGGCACGCAAGTTTTATTACAAACTTCTATAACCTAAGAATAGCTCACCCATTTTGAACTGAGGTCTCTGTAATTACTGAATAATAAGCCTTAGTATGTAATAAGCCTGTAACATTCATTGTTACTGACATTCATTGTAATCATTATTTCTCATTTTCATTGCCAGTAAAATTATTTGTAAACTAGAATAATTTGTAAACTGACAATTCGTTGGTCGAAATTGTCATTGGCCGAAAGTTGTGTGCATTATGTAGGCAGCTACATATATATTACACACATATATTACACATATTTTTAGATATAGGTATTCACATAATAGATACGGCATCTATCACACCAGGCATGTCAAACTGGGGACCCTCAGGGCCAAAGTGCTGTGGAGATTAGCGTTTACCCTCATCTAACACTGAATTCAGTTCACGACGGCCTTGCTAATTAGCTGATGAGCTGAATCAGGTGTGTTTAATGAGGCAGTGTGCTGAAGTCTGCATTGTTTTGGCCTGAAAAAGACTGGAGCTTGACATGGGTATTATATCATGTCCCCACACCTTGACACAGCTCTAGCTCAAATAAATAAACATTACTCACTGCTGCCCTCTAAAGGTGTTCAGGCACCAATCAGATGTTAGAACTTCTGTTGTTTTTGTAAGACCCACGACATGCCTAAGTCAGCACGTATTCTGTTTTCTTTTATAAAAAATAATTGGTGTCATGTGTGGATGAAAGAGTCTCACAGATTGGAGAAAGAAGGAAATAAGTATCTTTGTATGTATATGTATGACACTAACCCTCCAGGCGCTGGTTCTCCTTCTCCATGCGGATGAGAAGGATCTGCTGGTGTATCGCTGTCCTCCATAACGCTCTGTAATCTGATGGAGTGCGGTGGCCGGTCTCCCCTCCAGTGCCCTGCTCTGAGGGAAGCAGGCTGGCCAGAGCATCGTGGCCATGGGCTGAGGCACGAGGAGAGAGGGGCAGCAGCTCCCGGCCATCCATGTCTAAAAAAAAAAAACAAACAAAAAAAACCCCACAGAATTCCCATTCAATAGGGGCGTGAAAATACTATTTAACAGAAGACTATGATTCAACTGCATCAGTTCTGTAATGTTGAAATTAATTATATTGATATTATAGTGACATTTAGTAAAGCACTTAAATATAAGTTTTATTGAAACATCACTCTTCCTGAAAATAAATATGCTGATAACCTAAGGTCTAAGGCATTGTTTTGCTTCACACATACTATCTCTATTTGGCATGAGTGACGCGTAACGTCTTAATTTTCATTCTGGTGCTTATGTTAACAGGTCAGAGCTTTCATATAGGTTGCCTGTGCAGAGGGTCCCAGATGTGGCACAGAAGCAGTGCAGTATTTAGAGAACTGGTGAGTATCCTATTTTCTCAGCATTTCTCACTGAAATAAGCTATTAAAATCAATGGAAATAAATCTAAATAAATAACTTAATGAAACACAAACGTTTCAATTTGTGACTGTTGTCAAATAAAACTCTAGCTAAACATTTCACGCTGCATATACATTTTCCAGTAGGTCCACCAGGCTTGAAACGACTGCCCAAGTCACAAAGCTATTAAGGGTAAACAAATGTATCATGCTCTTTTTACAAATTCTACTTTATTGAGTAAAGTAACTGAGTCCACTATTTGTACATTATGAAAAATAGTCTATAGAACTGGCGTGCTGAATGTGTGAATGGCTAATATGTGGGAGTTGTAAAAGTCATGCTGCCACATTGCTCGTCATGCAGAGGCAGCATGCGTGAAACAGGCGTTAATCTCATGCAGCTGCTCCAGAGCGTCCCAATCTATTGGTAGTGCTTTTTAAATGGAGATTATGTGCCTGTGTCAGCAAAGACTGCACCTTGAAGTAGCTTAATTCACTAATTAAAAGGTGTGTCTGGATATTTTTGGACACACGGTGTACACAAGCAGCATTTCAACAAAAACATAAAGGACCATTTTTTACCCTGCAATGTTGACTATAAACAGCATGTTTGGGAGAAAAGGGGCCGTGTTGTGCCTGTACACATGCTCATTTGTGTTTGTTTACACACCAGCCTTGTGCATGGACGCCGTGGCCTTGTTCATCGGCGAGGCCACCCTCAGAAAAATCTTCTGACGCCAGGACACTCTGCGCGGAGTCACAGCGGTCAGCGAGTCACTGCTGCAGCCAGACAGAGTCCTCTTCCTGCCCTCTCCATTACTGTCACACATACAAACATAGGGTCAGCGGATACATCTTTGCCTTGAAAATTTTACTGATATGATGACAGGAAAAGTTTTTTTACTTCCACATTTTTTCAAAATAGCGTTTTGAAATGAATAGGCAAACAGAGTCTATTCTATGGTGAGGCAAATGATACATTGTGTGTCATCTAGCTAGTCAAAACTATAAAGTAAGCATTCCAATATGTTTTTCCCATCATCATTTTCAGGCAAACAAGAAAGCAAATGTTCTACTATTGGGTAGAACTGCACTACAATGAAAAGCCACAATGAGTTCAATGAGAAGCCCATATTTTTGCAGTTAAGAGCTCTTCACAAATAGCTATTAGAAACAAAATACACAGTTTATAAAGACATACAACATAAAAGCAAAAGCCTACAATGCAATTACTAGTCAGAAAAGAAATAAAAACTAACTCTGAGAAAGTAAGTACCTTCATGCGTGAATAACAGGTTAAACAACTATGTCAATTCTGTTAAGAAAAAATACAGAAGCAGGGACGTATTTAGAAAAGAAGTGTTCTTCAAATCGGGGCCTTGAATCCACATACCGCTCCTGGAATTTGTATTCACTGGTAGGTATGAGATTAGGTGGTCAATCAGTTACATCAAAGGTTCAATTAACCATTTTTTGATTAGAAAATTCTGGAACCGAAACGGGATCTTCCAACTTCCTTACTCACATATAACAAGCAAACAGCAGAATATATTTTGTCAAAATTGACCTAACCCTTAGAACAGCCAATTAGAATAGAAAGAGTTTATGTCAGACTTTATCATAAGACACAGTGCCAAGTGGTCCGTCTAGCACATCCATTTAGAGCTCTCTCCAAGGTCAAGCCAGCCAGCTTCAGTTTCACATTAATTTCCAGGTGTATGCCACTTACCTCTGTTAACCTAATCAGCACTGCTCTGACACACAAAGACTTTGGCAGAGACATACACCAACATCAGACCAACTGAAAATCTGAAAGGTCTCGAAAATTCTGAGAAAGCTAACGCCAAACTCAAACTCAAAGGTCAAACTTTGTCAAGTCAAGTGAGAAATGCTGTATTGAGTTAAGGTTGTACATTAAATTAAGGAATGAGGTGATCTCCAGGGATTTGGGTGCGAGAAGAGAACATGCTCTAGGGTGGGTGATATGACAAAAGCACAACATGATACTTGATTTCCACAATATACAACCTGCATCACAGGCTTGCAAACTGCACTAGTAACACAATAATACTCCCTCAGTAATACTGTAAAATAAAAACAGACATCAAACAATTTGCCAAAGTTAACTAATAAAATAAGATAAGATAACGCATTGACATCCAATTAGTTACTTGCCACTACATAGTTAGTATACAGTGGTTGTTGTTTACAGTCTCTGTATAACTGGTCTAAATCGGTTTATGAGACACACAGTGTTCTAGGCGTACTGATGACACCCACAATATACCCAGAAAAGCACATAATTTCATAATTTATCACTATAATAATAACATATCATCATATTGCCCACGCCTGCTGAAGGCTGTTTAGACATGGGAAAAGGGAACTTGGAGCAAATATGAATGGCAGGAGCTCCTTTAAAAAGTACAAATGGAAGAGTTGGCCAATAAAAATCAATGTAACTAGCATTTACATAAGCCTTTTCTTTTTACCAATCACTAACGTGTGCTGAATTCACTAACTGTTAGAGCTCACTTGAACTTCTAAATGCTCTCAGTACTAGCTTTATAACCGGAATGAACTTTTCATTTGTCAACAAGACATCTGTTCCAGTGTTCTGAATCCAAGTCATAAAGCACATTTGGGGAAAAACAACTTTCCCTTAAACCAGTAAATTGCATCTGTTCAGAGAACAGTCTTATATGATAGCAAACCTACAATTAGTGTAAATTAATCAGAATTTGAATGAACTCATTAGTGTAAAAATCAGTGCCTGTATTAAACTAATATCAATGTGTCATTTGATAAGTGGAAGTAAGTTCAATTATTGCAGTTTTTTTAATAAATTGCTAAAGAAAGCTAAAGACTGTAAACACAGTGAAGCCTAGATTAGCAGAAAGCAGAACCAGTTTGTAGTAACATGCTGTTTGTAGTCTGGTACTGTTAGTGCTGTAGTTATGTTATATATTTTGTGCACTTAGCTGTACAAAAGATTGCGAAGCATCATGCAAGTATCGGTTTGACTGGTTCCTCTGCCGACAAATAGTTCAGCAGTGCAGAAAAAGAGGAAAGCAGTTCCTCTCAGAGAGTAGATAGGCATACTGACAGAAGCCTTTGAGTTAAGGATCAGACAGACAAAGAGAAGACTGCTGCCAACCCAGTGCTAAAACCCGGGGTGCCAGTGTTACTGCACCGTCCCGGGATAGTGGGGGGGCAACGTGCACCCCCTCTCACCTCTTGGGGCTGTCCGGCAGGGAGGCCAACGAGCTGAGGGAGCCCTGGTAAAAACTTTTCAGGAAAGTGGGAGTGGTGAAGGAGGAGGGGAGGCTGAAGGAGGACTCGCCCTCAGACACACTGCGCTTTCTCGTGACGCTGATCGGGCTAAAAGAAGGCCCACAACAAACATACATTACTACAGGCAAGAAAAAGAACTCTGCTGTGGCAGAATGGTCAGGGACGAAAGAGGGCTGTCTATTTTGAGGCAGATTAATATTCTTCAAAGGCAAAAATACTGATACATTACAATAAGAGTACCCTTATGACAGGTATGGTTTAAATAAGGTTATTAATTAGGTCATAAACACCTTAAAAAGTTGTTCAAATATATAAATAAATAAATAACAATAATAATAATTAAAAAGTACAACAGTGAGCTGTTACATCTGATGAATATGAATATGAATATGAATATGGTGAAGCTGACTGGTTGCCACTGATGGAGAAGATAAAGTAAGATAAAAAACCTAGCTAGATCTGAGGCTTATTAATATGGATGAATGTGGCCTCATTTGGCAAGCACTGGGCCACTGCTATGTGTTATAACCATGTAATGATTTTTAAGGTGTTTATGACCTTATTAATAACTATTAATAAACATTCGTAACACTTTGCAAGGGTACTCTTACTGTAAAGTGGTACAAAATCCTGCAGTGCCTGCTTTGGTAACATAATTTAGTACTTTAATCGTTTGCTAATGAGCAGCTTTTCTATCAGCTCAAATGTATGTAGAAGTTACAAACGTCTTAAAAAAATTAGGGAATTCTACCAATTTTTCAAAATTCCTGCAAAGTATTAAAATACATAATTAAATTGTCATTTGGAGTAGGTTGATATTAAATTTTTCCATTCTATAGAAACCTATTTGAGTCAGAATTGTTCACAGTGGTGGTAAAAAGAAAACAGATGTCCAAAGTGTTTAATGCCTCCTAAAGCTACCTCACATGAAATCATCACATGAAATGGTACCGAATACATTACTTGATACCTAGAACACTTTTTTATGACAGTTGTATGATAATGTTTTTGGCTTCCGGTGTTATAAGGCAAAACAGCCCCAAGGAAAACTTTTTTTTCTTATTTGATAGTATTGTACCATTACCAACATCACACATAAAACTCTGAAGGCACTGTCTGTTTGGATGCTAAACAAGAAGGCTACCTTTACATTATAAACTTTGTGACCCCTAGTCCTTATCACCACCACTGTAAGGAAATCTGAGCTGTAAGTTTCTCTTGATTGCACCATTTCACATCAAAACACTCTGAATGAGTTCATTTACATCTTAATGTTTGAAACACAGAAATTAAAAAAAGGGGGAATTTCCCTTTAAATACGTTCTCTCCCATTTTGATTGTTTTAAATGGTCTAAATAAGTGTTGGATTTCAGTCAGAATCAAAAGTGCATCCACACAGTTGTAGAATTTGTGCCACAGTGATTTGGTCATTTGTTTGCATTAGTATAAAATTTAGCAATACACAGCGACATGCCTCATTCTTCAGTAAACATGTTAGCACACATGCTAAAGTCAGTAACCTTTTACTGATCATCATGAAGAAAACTTCTCTTTTGCAGAGTCTAATCTTCTCAAACAAGAGGAAATAAACTTTATTACTCAGCAGTTGTGTAAACCCAAAGATCCAAAGATATCTGTATCCTTTCTAAGACCTTCAGTCTTTACCATATCGGCTACATCTCTGTGTTCACTTGAGTTCAGCAATCACTGTGCAGGTCAACACATCATATGTACACTAATAATTTGGAGGTCAGCGATTAAGATTAAATCCACATTAAATCCATTTCCACCAAGCCTGAGATAAACAGATGCAGTCATGAGCTGATCATGTGAGGGGGAGACAGGAAGTGATGCGTTACCTGCTCTGAAGCAGCTCTGGAGCAACAGACTGCTGCCTGCGCAGGGGGGCCTTGGCCTGGGTCGGCACGTCTGTGAAAGAAATCCTCTTCTTGATGGGCGGGTGGCTGAAAGTGTGCGCCCGACGACGGAACTGAGGGGCATCGGGGTCCTCCTCCACATAAGCAGGAGGGGTCCCTGGAGGAGAGTCACCAGGAGAGTCGTCCTGCTGGATGGTCAGAAACAGGATAGACTGGTCAGCGGGCTGTTTATTAAAAGGGGAAACATGGTCATGTGCAGTCAGATAAAGCAACTAAACCCTGAAGCTATTATAAATAACAGAAGCCTGACTGAGCTATGTATTCCCAATGGCACTAGACTTTACCATAGTAAATAGTTAGCAATTTGTACTCAGGTTGCACATCATGTTTTTAATTGTTTTCACAACAGCCTTTGCAGTTCTGATACTACAGAAGGCTGCAATATGCACGAGACAAATTATTAATGTTTACTCTTTTCTGTGACCATCTTGACCACACCTCTGAATTTAGGGATTCATATGAATTTTTTTTATTCATATGAATAATTTTGGATTTGAACATTTCACAATATTCTGTTAAAAAACAGCACTGCCAAAGAACACCATCAACAATATCAACCATCAACATCATCAACTATAAATACAATGACTTTATTCAATATATTACAATGCACCGTAATAGATGCAATTAAACAGGACTAAATATGCTCTTTTTGTAATGAAACATACAGTTGGTCAGTGTTCTTTAAGCACTGATGTTATCCATGATACATTCAGAAAAGATACTGTGATTTATCACAATAACGATTAATATCATCGTATTGTCCACCCTTAGTTCAGAGCATTCTCTTATACATATACATACTCTAACTGCCCAGTCTACTTAAGCACGTACTGATGACCACCTTCAAGCTATAAACACACAAAAACACTTGACTGAACGCCAGCTACACAGTAGTGAACAGTCTCCACTCACCCACAGCCCTCTCTGAACCCTCTCAGTGTGCAGCCCAGGGCGCTAGCACAGTCCGAAATGGCAGGGCTGGAGGCAGCGTGACTAAACACATGCTCTGTGATCTATTGTATGCTAATGGACCGTGTCCTGTGACCGCCGATATCACACACGCATGAGTCAGTGGAGTTGCACCTGAACACAATGGAGAATCTGAGCGTGTTTACTGCACCGGCTATAGGAAGGGCCCACTCTGGCTCTCTTCCTCACTCTGTTTCCTGTCCCCGTGCTGTGGGTCCTGAACCTATGCTCTCCCATTACACGGCTTTCAGCAAGGCCAGGAAACCAGCAACGGCTGTACAACGCTGTCCCTCAGTATATTCTCAGTCTATTTATGTACGGCAACCTCCCCCCGGCCCCCCTCCAACCAGCCTCCCCCTGCCAAGGCTAAATTTGGGAAAAACACTGATTATCTGCACTATATAACAGGAGAAAACAAGCTACACTGGCAGCTTTCTTAGCCGTGCCCTGAAGGGGAGACATCATACAAAGGGCATTTGCAGAAGACTTTGCCAAATTAACAGTTTATTATGGCACATTCAGGACACAGTCCAGATTTTAAGAGCATGAACATTTTAGGCCCTTAACCGTAGGCTTACTATTCAGTTATTCTTCTTAAGGCTTGTTATTGTTATTATTATTTAGTAAATTTTTAGGTTACTACTATGAAACCAATATGTATGTTATGCAGATAGGAGAATATAGGATTGCAGATTGAGTGAGGGTTCACTCTGCATTTTTTGTGGAAAGTGAAAAAACCTGACACACTGTAGGGATGTGCATTCTGAGCAATTTTGATATTCGAGCATCCACAAAGATTAATGAACAGATAATTGCATGAGGGGATTTAATTAATTATTTAAGTAATTAATTATTAATAAATAAATAAATAAATAAATAAATACAAACATACATACATAAATGCAGGTCTGTAGGCTTCCTTTTAGGTGAAAGCACTGGTAGTGTTAAATAAATTAATAAACACCATGAAAAGAAACATATTTGAAAACACAGCCAAGAGAAATCAGTAAGTTTTCATGTTGGGTAAGTAACAGAGGCTTCCTCTTCAGGTGATCTAATTAGCTAAAACTACAGCTAACTGGTACAACACTGGATGGTAATAAGGACTCGTCATCTTCCTAGAGATGTTAGTTTGTCAAAGAAATACATTTTTATTCATTTGCCTTGTGACAAAGCCATACCAGAGCCTTTCTAATAAAAGCCTTCTCAATCACGTCCTTAAAAATGCACTCGTGTTAAGGCACTTGTGTTCTTGCAGTAGCGAACTGTAGTATAATACACCTACTTGCAAACACAAGGAAGCTCACGACATATTACAGCTCTGTTAAAACATAAAATTGACTGAAATGATAGCCTGTATATTTTCTCTGTCTTCTCATAACGAAACATAAGGAACACCCTTGTAATGACTTCAGTACTGGAATACTGGCACCTTGAACGGTTAACCGAGTACTCAAGCACTCGTGCTCATCCCTAGTGCACTGCACAGCCGTTTATGGCTGCGCATGTCACTGTTGCTAAGCATCAACAGAATCATAACTGTCAAACAGCTGTGTAAACTGGCTGTCTATATACAATCAGAAAGCTCTTTCACTTGCCACTTGTGATCCTGCTAGTAAAAATGAGCTAAACTTCAGGGTTTTTAGTTCACTGAATGACAACTATCACTGAATGCGCACAGTCCTTTGATCTGATTAGTCAGCACAGAAACAAGGACACAAAGTGTTAATGATGCAAAACACCAGCATCTAGTACTCCAAAAGTCCTAGAAAGTATGCACTCGTCACAATGTGTCCACAACGCTCAACAGACACAGCCATTTTAGCTAACACAAGGTTGGTTTCACTCTGGTTACTAGAGTGCCAGTAGAATCAGAATCTCTACTTCACATCTAAAAAGGTTACTTGACTACTTTCAATCGAGTTTTTTTTTTTGCAGCACTCTGCACAAGACAGCCACGCATGGTGCTAGAGGCACCCAGTGTGCAAAAACACTTTGAAAAACACGTCTTTTCCTTTGAAGACAACAGAAAAAGGTGCCTGTGTCCTCAAAAAATGCATACAATGTAAACCCCCACCAAGAGGTTAAAACACTACATATTCTAATAATATTCTAATTACAGAAAGCTGATGAAGAACTCTCTTTCAGTTACGACTTATCCCACCAGTGCATGAAGAAATGTGTGTGGATCTCTCAATATTTAACAGTCATATCTCAACAACCAGTAAATCAACCAAAAATTCTTCAACACAAACGTTCCAGTAAGGCATGTACATAACCCACGCACCCCACCCTGCTCTCAGGCGTGGTTAGTAGGCCTCATTGCATGGGAGGAGACTTAAGCAAAAGGCCTGAGTGTCTGTAATGTGGGATAGAGATACCATGTTTTCCAGCATGAGCTACAGGGCCTCACATTGACAGCCCTACTTGGGCCATGTGAGAGTTCATGTGGAAGAAACACCCTGAAGGACCGATCACACACTTACCTCACATTTCACACACTGACGAGACACAGAAAATATTTAGGTCCCAGAGAGAGAGACAGGCCTGAGCACAGACAGGACTCAGCAAACATCTAGCCACTTATGCCTGTCTATGTGGATGCTAAGAGATACTGGCAAACAAATACTGTTAACACACGCCACAGAGAAATACAAACTGTGCAGCAGAGAGTGTTCTTCAGCTAAACTGAGAGTAAACTACGAGCTCCAGGAATTCACATTCACTGCATGAGGGGGAGTAGAGTCAAGAGAGGATACTCACCCGATCAAAGCTGCCCATGCTTCCCAGACGCATGCGCATTCGGCTAGCCCCCTGGAGGAGAGAGACCAAACTTCATTCTTTTTGCAGACGGCTTTACGAAAAAGTAACAATCTGTCAAGATTCTCATTTTCATAATTATATAAACTAAGAAGGAAACAATAATGATACAGCTACAGGCAAGTAAACACTCAATATATTTACAAATACATACATACACACACCAATGAGATCTCAAAAACATTTTCCAAAACTTTCATCTATCAGCATCTGTTGTTGCATGAAAAAGCACATGCTGACAAACTCACACATACACACGAGGGCTTGGAACTAGTGATAAAATTCAATATCATGATATTTTCTTTATGTCAGTATCAGACAATACAGAGTACTGTGCAAAGTCCATTTTTTTTCTTTTCCAGGCAAAACAGCCACTAAGTACAAGTTTTTTTTTTATTTGTCAGCATCAGAAAAAAAGAAGAAAATATATATTTAACAGAGAAGCCTTAGAAACTAAATATAATATGATTTATTTCGTTTGTGGATGTGTCCACCCTTGTTTTCATTACAGCTTCCATTCTTTTTTGGGAAACTTGCTTTCCATTTTTCAAAGCAGTGACATTTTGCCATGCTTCCAAATTCAGTCTTAGCACTAGAACACTGGTATTTCTTTGGACAGAGACAAAATTCTCTAAATCTTTTAATGATTTTTGATATCCAGTTTTGGAAACTCCTGCTTTTTTACTTCCTTTGACTTCCCCCTTATGTAAGCAGATTAGCTTATATAGAGCTTCCTTAGAAATATCTCCTGAAAAATTAGTAAGTTCATGTTAATTTTGACTGGAAATTAAATAAATGATCGGTGGTCTCTGACTTTTTGTGAGGGTATAAGTTAGCATTAATAAAGTTTATAAGTTTACATTAATAAAGTTAATGAACTTCATGAGTCTTGAAATCTTACATAGTTTCTCATTTAAAATATTGCTAAAACTGAAGGTATACAGATATACTGATATAGAGCATGGCCCGTGAGGATGTTTTGATTTGTCCTATGAGAAAGTTATCCTAACCATCTTCATCCAATGAGAGAAAAAAACATTTTTTTACTATAACTTTTTAAAAATGATTTTCCTTTTAAAATTTTGAAGCATTTTAGTAACAAATTATAGTGTAATGTTTTTAAGAACTTGATTTCAAACCTACCTAACCTCTTATTTGGATATTGTTTTATGTTTCTGGCCATAGGGCCATCACAAACATTACACTCTGGTCCCCCAAGATAAAAAGATTGGGTCTTGATGTAGATGATGCATCACCTAGCCCTCGTACACACACGTAAGCACACACCATACACACTTACACGCATACACTCCTTTGTGGAAAAAACAAAACAGATGGTAGAGACATCTAACAAAAACACTGTGTACACAAAGGTATTATTAAGCTACCACACGAGAATAAATAGGTCAATCCGTATTCCTGTACCAATGAGAGATGTACAGAATGGGCACAGACAAAAAACAAAAACACACACACCCTTGAAAAGATGTTCTCCAGAGAGCTGGTGAGGGAGCTGCGTGCTTTGTTCTTCAGGACATCCAGCTTATTGCGTCCAGCTGAGTTGTCTGAGCCCGTGTTATTGGGAGCATTTTGCTACAGAAAGACAGTAAATAAAGAATAAATAAAGAGTTTTCTGGAAATGTAATTTTACACAAGTACAACCAATAAAGTCTAGTTAATCCATTCTCATTCAGATAAAAAAAATCTGCTCAGATATATTACAGTTTCACTACTCTACACTGACAGGCAGTTTTCTTGACACAGATTCAACAGAGAAACAATGTCTGTGTAAAAGTGAAACTACAGAACTAGTCTTAATTTGTGTCCGGAAGTCTGGGACTACTGGAGGTACTTTGAAATGTACATCTTTTTCCCAGTGGGTGGCCTGGAGCCTGATAAGAGTGCTATGTTTGGAAAAGCTTGGACTGTTTTTGTTAGTTCTGCTCTTCTTTAAGTCAGACAAGAGACAAAAAAGGGAGGCATTCGTTAGTTTTCTCTGAGCTGCGTGAGCCGCATCAAGGATCTGCTATGCTTTTTCTCAGTCTCAGTTTCAGAACCATAACATCATAGGGAGCCATGTCTTAATCCAATCTGATGACATTTGAAATCTGTCCAATTAGAAGCAGGTCACAGCTTGAGCTGTCCCAGTTGCTGTGAGTCACTATGAGTGGGTGAGATGTGTGGTGGAATTTGAGGGATTGGTGGGACTGGCCTTTTTATTATTGTACTGTATGAAAATGTGTGTGTGGTACCTGAGGAGCTTCTCCGATATGAACATGGGTCTTCTGCTTGGTCTCACACAGTTGCCTGAGGTGAAGAATAACCAGCTCATTCTCTTCCTGATCAGAGCTCGGCTTTAACCTCTGTATGACAGAAAAGGAAATATAATACAGCACAAAATATTAATTTTGTTCCATTGCCGTTAGATTGCCCCCCTTCCATGCTTACCTGCACACGCTCAAAAATGTCTGCTTGTTCATTATCGCTCAGCATGGAGAGGTGTTTTTGAATAGCCAGCTTTGCCCTGGGAGGGTACAAACCTGCAGCCACGTAAAAGGAAAAAACAACAGGAAAACACTGCTTTCATTGAGGAAACCCAGCCACAGAGAGTGTATAGAGGGGGCGCTGGTGGAGGCAGTGGACGTACCTTCAATCCTCTCACAGAGCTTATGCAGGTCGTGCATGGGGCAGGCCTCGCACAGTTTGACCTGGGTCTTAGAGTTCTGTAGTGCTGCAGCTGTGCTGAAGGCCTGCTTCAGGGTCAGCATCACCTCATCTACCTGAGAGGAGGACATGCCACAGCGCACTTACTTTCTTCTTTTCTTGAAGGAACAGTTAAGCCAGACATACATTATATGATTTTTAAAATCCTAACAGATTTTTAAGTTTTAAGATTTCAGAGTGTCACACACTTGATGTCTGTCTTCTGCAGAATTTCTTGCATTTTGTCATTAAGGCGAACACCCTAGGCACTAAGGCAAAAAGAGGGCACAACATATAGAACAAGTTTTGGCTACTAAAAAAACACTCAAATCCTACCTGCCTACACTACAAAACCATCCGTGCTATCAATCACTACCAACCAAGCTTCTGACCTTAAAAAATTGTGTCAGCTTGTGACAGCAGCATGCGAATTCCACTCCATCATCACACACTTGTCTCAAACTGTGTTGAGTTGTTAGATAATTTTAAAGAGACTTGCTAAAAAGGTTTCTGACACTGTAAACATACAGTTATCTATATGAAAATGTACTAAGTGTATCAAACACAGCACTGTGCAAAAGTCTTAGTCAACTAAGAAAATGGTATGTATCTTAACAGTAAGTATTTATTTGTCGAATAAAAAAACGAAAAAAAAAACACATTGGAATAAACACAAATGAGCAAATAAACAGTACATTGAGATTTTATGTCAGATAGCGTTTTAGCTTAACCAACTTAACCTTTTAAAAAACCTCCCCTCAAGGAAGCTCAGTATTTCCAATTACCATCCAATACTTACGTTTATCAATCCTTCATTAAATCAAAGCAAGTGTGCTGCTTAATCAATTCAAATCAATGCAATAAATAAAGCACACAGAGAAGTCAAGAATCAAAACTGTTATTCTAAACAACATATTAATAACTTTTTAAAATTTTGTTACTTGAATCTTGTTCATACTTTTGTCCTGGTAGCTCCAGAGCAAAAAAAAAAAAATAAAGACGCAAACTTCAGACTACAAAACATGTCTTGTCTAATTAACCACAGTAAGAGTAAGAGGAAAATTATGTAAAGAGATTTTTCCCAAGCTGTTACTTTAGCAGAGACTATGATATGTTATGGTTAAAAGAAAAGATGTTCACATTACAGGCCGTAACCTTCAATTCTGGCTTTTTTATTGCCTAGCTACACTCCTGCCCTGAAATGACCTGCATGCCCACATCCAAAGTAATAACACAACATTAATAACCCACAGGTGTCATGAAGGACAACAAACAAAAGAACTAGTAGCACAAGACTTTATCGAAAACCATTAGCTGCGAACTGCTCCCAGCTGTTCATGACTATGGGAGAAGGTGTAATAAGGCCAAATGCATCGCTTCTGCAGCTAACTTCAAGTTAGCCACTGCTGCCACATTGTGACACTGGATGGTCATAGTAATATGTGCATGTGCAGGAGAGGAAGATATGAATTCCAAGTCCATCTCTTGCATGGCCATGACTTGGAAACATTCAATACAAGACTACAGCAGATCTGAACAGAAAAGGCCAGATTCGAATTTGTGCTCCTTCAACTTGGTAATGTCAATGTAGTTAATTTGGATAAAGAACACATCATTGCTTAAAACAAAAACATCAATCTAAACCCTTTTCAGTAGCATCCATTTAGATTTCAGTCTGCAGCCAGAACTGTGTCAAAGATAATGTTCACACCACAGGCAGGGCACAGTCATTGTTCCCTTTCTACCCAATAATAAATAATGGATTAGTGGCATATGTGCATGTGGCGAAGGGAGAATAGAAGGCGGCACTGAGCTGCTTACCAGAGATTCGCTGGCACACTGGAACACGTAACACACGTACTGGCTGGGTCCAGACTCCACCGCATCCCGACAGATGAAGCCAAAGTGGTCTGTCTGTTTCACTCCCTGCAATTGTTGCATGTGGCGACATAAATTGTGGAAAGAATTATAAAGCAATAACATACAAAGAAAATGACTGCTGTAAATCAAGACATACAACTGCTCATAATACCGCTAAAGAAATGTGATGTAATTCAGCCAGGGTGAGTTGTATGTATAAATGCTTTAAAAAGCCTTATAGCATAAAACATAAACAAAAAGGCCTTGTTTCCTCTAGGCTGTTAACAAGCCATACAATAATATCAAATATAAACACAGTAAATTATGCCTGACAGGCTGAAGCCATTATAAACAACCCCCTCAAACCTGGAAATTCACCAGTTTGAAGGGAATATGCCAGGAAAGCTCCTTGACATTAAACCTGAGTTGGTGGATAAGATCGGCCTGCAATAAACAAACTCTTGGGACAAATCCCAGACCACAAACCTGAGAGCAGGATGAGATATCTTTGAAATTCTTCTCCAGAACTACCGTCTTACTGTCAGGGCTGATGAGGTTCACCTCAAAACGTCCCACCTGAAGCCACAAAAAGACAGCTAGCTTCAAAAGTGACCTTTCATTCAACAATGGGGGAAGACGCAAAAAAACAAAACATGAACACAATGTCTTTTGATGCCTCATAATAGAGATCCTGGCTTTTGTGAAAGCAATCTCGGCAGCAAAAATACTCAAACATTCACAAGGTCAGAGGCCACACAAGTGACTTCTCAGAGCTCATTTAAAAGAAACTATATTGTGAGAATTTCTAGTGGCTGCTCTTCATGGAAAACAGCCTTGGGTGACCATGTGAAGAATGGTTCACTGACCGTTTAGCTAGCATGCATAATAGCTACTGAGAAATCTGATAATCACCAAGGCTGTGTGAAGCTATTAAATAAGGGTTAGATTTTAAAGCCAACAGCTTTATCACATTAGAGTGATTTAATAGAGGCTACTTCAGAATACATAGCTAGAAAAGGTTGAAATACGTTTTGTCCACTTGGCAATGTAGCATTTAATTTAAAGAATAGTCAATTTAACAACATGTTTAATTGAAAATTCAGTGAAAATTTACATTTACAGAGTTTTCCTTTGAGTCAAAATTTAGTCAATCAACTGAGCTACATTTAGTGTCTGAAATGTGCTTCTTTAGTTTTGTACTGGCACTCTGAGGCTAAAGTAGCCAACAAGTAATGGAAGCTTATACCACCACAATAGACCCTTATTATTCTTCTGGTTACGATGCAGTGAAGGTCGCCATAGTAGGGAAAACATTACAGCAGTGACAGTGTTTATGAATGAGAACGTAGAGGACTCATTTATTTTATATCCTCACTACAGTATTTACCATTTTTTTCAGGAAAGACATTTGTTTGGTGGAGCAGTTTTCATTTTCAGACAGATTAACAAGGGCTACAAACTTTTCTTTGAGAATTACCTGCATGACTACAAAGGTAAGGATCTTATAAGTTACCCAATAAGGTCAGCTAAACTTACCTGCTAATGTTTAACAGAACATAGTCAATGTTGTGCTGGTTAGGAGTAAAGTTAACATAATTAGTAATACCTCATTGTTTTTGGGTCATTTTTACAGTTTCCTCTGTCTAACATTGCCTAATTACCCATGTCTAATGTTGTTTTGCACAGCGTCTTGTTCTAAATAGCCAGATTGGAGTGTTTTATATCTACACTAACCGACATGATGATGTTTAATTACTTAAGCGTTTGAGCAGTAATATCACTAACGTTAATGATTACTATACAAAAGTGCCAAATACTGATCAACGTAATTGCCACACATAACCCTGCAGTCCACACAGTTAATTGGCTCATCTACCTAACATTAGATAAGCACCAGTTTTTATTTTATTCATGGATAATATCACATATTCTCTCTCCCTTCAACAGGCAGCTACTCACCCTTTTTTTAAATCCATACGTTCATGCATCCCAGTGCCAAAGCTGAAAGTGTCATTAGTGTCATATGTTAACGTAGACCTTGTCAAGCTTGCTCCTCTATAAAAATGAAAATTGTTTAACCAAACATTTTTTCAAAGTTCTTAGTGGAAATATGAGGTAAATAATGAGAACAGAGTCCTCTATGTTCTAATTTGTAAACGCTGACACTGTTTTATTGTTTTCCCTACTATGATGAACCCTACTATGCTCCACTACAATGAAAACTGAACTGTGAAAAGCGTCCACTAACACTGTGCAAATCACACTTTTTTGGGGTTAGATTTCCACACTTAAACCTAAAGACAGCTCTGCTGAAAATATAGGCTATGATTATAATTGCAGCCCTTACTATTTGAAAATTGTTCTATATAAATATAAAAATGATTAATCCTTCAGCCTCAACATCACATAACATATGAAAATACAAGCGATTTTTTTATTTCTCATCGAGAGATAACTAAGAGATTAATTTGGTGTTTCGACTACACTTGGCACAAAGGGAAATCTGTGGAGATTAGTTGAACTATTCCTTTAAAACAGGCATGATGTGTAATCAAATGTAGTAAAAGCCCCACCTTTTCACACACACAATCACTTGTTTGGGCCTATGTTATGTGTATATGCATACCTATGTACGCTCATACCTGGAACAGCATGGTGCGGTTCTTGTCTGCGTCTGACGGCTGTACGTTGTTGGGTGCGCTGGCGTGTCTTCTGCGTGTAGGCCCCTTGGCCCCGGCCTGCATCGTTCTGCTCTGCATGCCGCCAGCCAGGCTGTTGCAGCGCGTGCGGATCTCCTGCTGCTCCTCGAATCCTGAATCCTCCAGGATACACTCAGGGAAAGCTCCACGCAGACTACCCACGCTGAGGCTGCCGCCCAGTTTCCCATTACTCACTCTGGCCTGATCTCCAGCTCCTGGCTCTGCCCCTGCAGCCTCAGCGAGCGAGGCGCTCAGTGGGTCATCCCCAACGATGAACTCCACGGAGGTCTCTGTCGAGCTGCGCTGGCCATTCAGAAGATGCAGCCGCTTGCGCTCCACCTCGTGCTGCCGAAACTTGTCAATGCAGTCGTCAATAAGGGTGGAGGGGGCTTTTTTGTGGTTGACTGTCACTTTGCCACAGTAAAGCACCTCAAACTTCTGGGAGTTGTAAAAAGACTCTTCTCCCTCCTGCTTGGGCCTGCTGTCCTCCTTAAGTGCAACTTTAGAGGCCTGCCTGATGCTGCTGATGACTTCAGGAACCTGTAGGTTGGAGGGAAAAACAGCCTTGACTCTTCAGAGCTGATAAAAGCCAAACTTGGCCATGGTTCCTATTAATAGCCCAGAATGAACAAATTGAGATGCAGAGTGATTTCCGGCTCAGACTTGTCTCCTTAATGAAGCTACAAAGGGTCAAGAAAAAACACTGCAGTGGGCGGACAGTGCCAATATCAGGATATTTAATGAAATTATCACAATACCAATAATAGTAACAGATACTGCTATGATACTAATCTGAATAAGCCTTAATAAGCCTGACAGAAGGACTGCAATAAGGTTAAGCCTAGGACTGGGTTAAAGCTAACACAATGCAGCCTCAATTCACAAACTAAATACAGCACTCAGGTTAAATTACTATATTTAAAATTTTGCAAAATGGACCTTACATCACATAAGTAAAACAATATTTATACAACATAACGCCCTACAAGTAGCCAAAGACACCATCTTCACTACTTGCACGTTGACAGTGATTACTGTAATGTGTCACCTTAAATACACAGTAAAACCTAAAACTGAACTCGAGAACAGTTTTGAAAAAATAACAGTTTAGAAGTCTGGTATGATGCCCTTTGTCTCTAGGTTGCTTAATAGTGGAGCCGGCCTGCAATATTCACATAAATCTGAGAGCAGGCAGCCAAGACATTGCTGGGTGCCAAAGTCAGATTTTCCCATAAAGAGCAAACACATCAAACAGAATTACTCTACGGAGGGCCTGTGAATAGCTACTGAGTTCAACTGTCTTTCAAAGGCTCGGAAAGTTCCTGTCACTTCACTCGAAGTGAAGTACATGGACGGCTTTGCAAACAAAATTAAACTGATTTACATTAGCAAGACAGCTCTTGCCGAGAGAACACAAACAGTGCTTGGGTGACAGAACTGGGCCAAGCACCAGGGAGGCTCAGAGGTGATATAAATGGAGGGCTAGCAGCACCAAACGGACACCAGAATAGCTCTTAGAGTGGACAGAGTGGTTCCCTTAATTTACACAACACCTCAAAATGTATGTCCAGTAGGGGTGGGCAACATTGTGATATTGTGATAAATTACATCACATCATATCACTGCAACACCGACCAGCTGCATGTTTCATTACAAAGCGCACATAATTATTTCAGTTATTATTTTTAATTGGATTTAGTGCAGGGCAGTACGAGACTCTGAATAAAAATCAATGTACACAGTTGTTCCAATTAAATCATATCTCAGAAAAACTAAGTACTGTAATGTATATCGTGATAGTGTATATCTTTTTCATGAGCTTCTGTGGATCAAATGCAGTTGGATGTTATGTTTTAAAAATACTCATGATATCATACATACTAAAATGGTTTCCCCTGTTTGATTAAAAATGCTCAGTGATATTCCTAAAAGAAGCTTTTACAAAAAGAGAAAAAAAACATTTTTGATTGTACCATACATAATGTATACCAGGGCCAACTTCATGGAAAACTGAATTTTCCTTGCTTTTCTGAAGTAAAAGAAAAGTGTGATGTAGTATGTTATCACTGTTAAAGTTTCAAAATGTACAGCTTACTCCCCGGTCTGAATGGTCCATAAATGGAAACTAAGATACAAAAACAGTTTTGAATTCACTGCTTTTGTGATGTCACAAAAACCAAAACATCTACATATAATCAGCCTTCAGCAGGTTGGTTCCACCCATCCATGCTGATGTTATAAGGAGTGATTCAGTTCGGACTGTTTTAAGTGCAGGTCTTTAACCCATTAAAATAAATGCAAAATCAATCTTTTTACTTCTGTATTTAAATGTTTTGTATCATGGTGCAAAAGCCATCATCGCTATTATGAAATCTGTGTATCGTTACACCTCTAATGTAAAGACTGTGCTGTCTTTGAACAAAGAAACAATTTTATGCAGTGGTGCTAAGTGCCCATCTGGACAAATGTTCATTAAATAGGTTTTAATGAGAAGCATTGATTCAAAAACCCTAATGAATACAGCAAACATGTCACTAGCAAAAAACAGCATACTGTAATGGCGACTGGCGCACTTAAGGTTTAAAAACACAAGGCTCCAGTCAACACCAAGGTCAAATGGATTACTTGCTCAAGGCAGCGATAGAGAGTAAACCAAACATAACTCCACGCTGTGCACACACTCATATCACTGCTGAAGATAAGATTCAGTAGACTTGGTTGACAAACGTACTTATCCTTTTAAAAAAGGCATTCAGCTGTATAGGTTAAAGGATCTCAGTTGCAGTGGGTAAACAGTACATTATCACGTTCAGTAGCACGACCTGGGGAACCATGACAACCTTTAGAGCCATTTGCCCACGCCCATTAAGCACATTACGACAACTTTTACCAGACTCCCAAAAGACTTTTCACTGGAGGTTTGTCAGAATTAGATACTACATGCATCAAAGCATGTCATTCATATAGCATCATAATACTACTACAGCTTTTTCATCAACTATTTTATGTATTTTGTTGATACTAAAAAGGAAACTAGACATATTCACAGACAGATCACACACAGACAGATCTATATGAGTACATTATTTAAGTTTCCAAGGACGACTGTGGACAAGAGTACGCTGCTCCTCATATAAAAGCCTCCTTGAAGTCAGGACGAAAAGCAAACATCACTTGACATGTTACATCTCTCGTAAAATAGCTGACTTGTGGAAGCAAGAGAAAGGGTGCGGCGCCTGGTTTTTTAACTGACAGTTGGCACATTTCCAAGAAATACATGAAGATTTCCAGCAAATCTCTGACATCACAGCCCACTGAAAAAAACGACCATATCCAACCCTTTTGAATTATCAGCGACAAACAGATTTAACGGGAAATGTGTGCTAAAGGGCTCATATCTTACAGTTCTCTTCTATTTTATTTCCACCTGAGATCCGCTTTTGAGCTTTGTGTGGGTGTATGAACCAAGAACAGCAATAATTCATTTTTACATGACAATTTTTCAACCCCTCTTTATCCCTTCTACTCAAACAGGCTGTTCTGTAACTGTACCTTTAAGACTGACATATTTAACATTTAACTGACCTCTGCTTTGATTGGCTGCCCTGCATTGTGCCTCACTCAAAAAGCAGTCTAGGTTGAAATGCACCTCATAACAGTGTGAATATATTTAATATATATATATATATATATATATATATATATATATATATATATATATATATATATATAATCTTCAAATGCTTTATATGTGTGAGATCACAAAAACAACTGATTCAAAACAAGCTGTTTTTGCAGCTTAGTTTCCATATAAGGACTGCATGGACTGGGGAGCAAACAACACATTTCGAAACCTTAACAATGATTATATATGATGTAAAACTTGCAAAAAAGGGATGAGTTTAGATTGAAGTGAGGAGCCTTCTATGGGCCGTTTAACACAAAGGTGCATGATTCCATTTTAGCCTGAACGCAAATGTGAGCTGCTGTAAAGTAACAAACAATGTGCCTTGCACACATCCAGAAGGTCAAGGTTCCTGCACCAACATCCTGTTTAAAACTTGGAGCAATGAAATATACTTGTCTTGCATTACCCTGACAACTTTGTAAGAACACCTCTAAATCCTTTACTCCACTTAAATCAATTAGTTGTGATGTAATTGACCACCATGATTTAATCTGAATCATTTGCACTGAGCCTAATGCCTAAACGTGCCACAGGACTGTCCTTGGAGAGACACTTAAGAGCATGGGCAGATAATCAAGCTCCACTGCTTGCCAGAAACAGTTTCAAGGAAAGTGATCAGTTGAATCAGTCAGATTTAATGTAACACAGGATCAACACTGTTCACAAGAAATATATTGCTCTCTGGCTTCCATGAGGTAGGCCGCATCTCTAATTTTCTCTGGGATTTTTGTGGATTTGTGGACATTTGCACATTTTGACATGTTTCCTGTCAAAGTGGTCTCTGGCAAATCTGCAATTACTAAGCAGCAACCACAGCAGGGGGCTGACACATAGAGTGTGGGCTTTAAAAAATAGAGCTGATGAGTAATGACTTAGAGTCACACAGAGCAGAAGAATGGTCCATGACAACAGCAGTCCCATTTAAACCTAAAAGATGTCAATTAAGCAAATCATTCCCATATCAGTGTACGCAACTAACTAAAAAAACATCTGCACAGTCTGTGTGAGCATTAACAGCTGTTGTTTGGTAACTGGGGCAGGGTTCTGACAGTGTTATTTTCATGCTCTGTTGTAGATTCCCGATTGTAGTCCATGTCTCATGTTTCTAGGCCTGGAGCAGGTTCCAACCACACTGTGGTGAAGCTGAAATCCATGCTAAGGGTCAGTGTCCAGACATGACTCAGGCTGGCACAAACTTCACAGACTATTTTTACAGACACCAAGACAATTGCCTTTATTCAAAAAGGTTGGATAAAGCTAAACACTATGTACAGTTCGTCCCACCAGTTCTGAGATCATTTTAACCATGGACCAGCTAAATGCTACGCTAATTGCACAGCCTGTACAGATCCAAATATATTACAATGATCTGCCCAAAGGACCTGTGCAAAGGTGTGAACATACAGGCCTATGTATCCTATGCTAGGTTTATGATTCAAGATGCCAGTACCTGAACACTGAAATCGCTATACAGATATTTCTATTTTCTCACAGAAAGAAGGAGAACATATGCAGACAAACAATTAATTGAATGAATTTAATTCTGATTTTGTGTTTTAACAGGACTGTGAAATGTGGTTAGTACCAGTTGTCACTGGCTATGTTTACATGCAACGATTTTTGCCAATCCGATTGAATACAATCCGATTACAGATTTAGACTGAGGTGTTTATATGCACTCTATTCAACAATCTGATGGAAAATCTTCGTTTACATGCTCACTACAAGTAATCCGATGCAAAATGACGCGCATGCGTGGAGTAGCGCTTAGAGTAAACGTTACCATGACAGCGAACATCACGTGAGGTCCAGACCAGTTTCTGCTCCGCCATGTTGAGCGGTGTAAACTTTCGCCGTGACGCGACGCACATGCGCAGAACATACTTACACGTTCCGATTGGAATGTAATCGGATTCAGGCGTTTACATGGCTATTATTCTTCTATTTAACGGATTATTTAGAAGTTTACCCACCTCGTTTAATCGGATAGAAATTGTATTCCGAATGGCCTCAATCGGATTAGACTATTCCGATTGAGGTGTTTACATGGACATATTCTATTCCGACTGAGCTATTAGTCGGATTATTAACGGATTATCAGGCTGCATGTAAACGTGGCTACTGGCAGCTCATCAGCTCATCTGAAGAATTAGCATCTGTTACTCCATCAACACAAAAACCTACTGGTTTCCTACAGCTACGTCCGTTTTAGCACTTGTTTTTTTCTGCCCTGTCATCCGTACCCCAAATATCAGTTCATTAACCATTTACAGATACTTGAAAAGTAACATCAGTCAAAATGCACATCTCTTGCAAAATTATTTATGGGTTGTAATGATAAACAAAATAAACAGATTTGACGTGATGCAGTGGTATCTCAATATGGCACACTGTTCTGATGCAGCAAAAATAGGGAGCACCTGAGTTTGTGCCTCATGTTCATATGTTACACCATGCACAGAGCTTATACACCTGCACACTAGGAGCATAACAATGCACGTATTTTCAGGTTCAATGTTATTTTTAATTCTGAAGTCAAAATTAAATTAAATATTTAATAGTTTCTATGTCAAAAATGATTTTATACAGCCTGAATCATACTCAACACATTAGTTTCCCTCTAACAAATAGACGTTCTCCAATGGAACTCTTTCAACACTGGATGCACCATCCTCCTACAAAATAAACACCAAAAAATCACAACTCCTAGAATTTTTTATGATTTATAAAAGGTCTAGTCATTTGAGTATGGGTACCTACAGAACAAAAGCCCCTCCCCCTCCCTGTTAACTTTACTCTGATAGGCTGCACTCAGATGCTTAGTTTTGATCATTGACAGTGTTTTCAATCAACAGATGATAAATAAGAGACCCCTGGAAGAGACTGAGAGTTGGCCATAGAGTTTCGATTTTCAATACCATGTTTAAAATTTGATTCTTCAATACGTATTGAGATGGTTTCACCCTTGATAATTTGTAATTAAGACCTACGGGACACGCCAAGCCGGCATTTAAAAACTAGTGTCAGTTATGTCCAACTGATGATCGCCTTCCGTCAGCTCACCATCACTTCTTGTCTAATGTGAAAGTTGGCATTCGAACACACCGCTAACACTACAGCTGACAACCGACATGCACATACGTAATGCACCTGCACGGAAGCTTTTCTGTGTGTGTATTTTATAACAATATTAATGTTTTATTGTTGGGAATATGATAACCACATATGATTCGTTTAAATATTTGTACATTTGAACAGTAAAAACAAAGTTGAAAATGGCCATTACTAGTGCTAAAGCTTTGCTATTTACTTTAGGCTATTCTCTGTATGTGTCCTCTTGAGAGTGACGTTTTCTTAAGTTGCTCTCTTTCTTGCTTTCATTCAAGAAAGATAATGTTGAGCATGCTGAAATAACATCTTGAGTTGACGAAGATGGACTGGAGTCAACGAAGCCATAAACACCACACTGAGCACGTCTGACGGCCGGCAGTCGGCTTGGTGTGTCCCGGGCCTCGGTATAATTAATGTGTCAGGACTGCCAAATTTATCATTTGCTAATTGTTATCACAATATTGCCTTTTTGCAATAATGATATGGCAAAAGGATGTATTCGCAAATGAGTCTTCTAAACAACCGCCATGTCTTTTTTTAACTATGTTTTGAGAACATTTTTATCAACCACACCTACAGATGACTGTTTCCGTGGGTGTTTTGATGAATCAAAGTATTCATGAAATTCAAAAAAAGTAAATTAGGTCCAAATAACACAAACTGACGTCACATTACTGATTTCCCCACACGTTTCATATAATGCAAGGCATACCGCAATTGCAGCATACAGCAATATAGCCACAATACTAGTATACTGTTTGTATTGTGCTGTCCTCGTTTTTTTCCATCCCATTTTAAGTAATGTGCTGTCAGCTTCTGCATATTCTGTGTAACAATATGTCTAAACATGATTGAGTTTGCTAAAGTGGTCAACTGGCTCTGACTCATTTTCAATCATCTTAAATTGATTAAAAAAAGGAAGGACAAACGCAGCTGTAGGACCCAAGGCATTGCAAATATTTCCAAAGTCAAGCACTGCTTTCTCCTTTCGGTGAGGCAATAGACATTACTCAGTGCAGGAATAAAATACAGCCTTTTAACTGATGAGATGCTTATCTTTTTACTTTAATCAGTTCAGGCTGCTCAACTGAACTCAAACAGAGCAGAACAAAAAAAAAGGTGCTTTCCAACTAATAACTGTTCTGTAGTAAGAGACGAGACAGCCTAAACTGTAGCACTTTCCTGTGTTTTTGAGATGAGGGTAAAACTACAACAGCCTACAAATGTCAGCACTACTGAACCCTGAACAGTAGATTCAATGTCATGTTCAGTAGTAGTTTGAGAACAGGGAGAGATGTGAGTGAGGAGAAATTCCTCATGGTCCATCTGGCACGTGTTGCTATCCAGCCAGTTTTTCTTGCATAACGACGTGGCCATGAGGTGCTCATATTGCCTTTAGGAGTGCTGCGTGCACTAACGCCACGCTTCACTTCAGGAACAGAACATCACCCTCGCTCACGTTCACACACCAAACCACTTCATTCAAGCACGGCAGCCATGTGCTCAGCGAATTCTTGCTCACCAGAATCACTGGTTTCTCCTTATAGACTGACTAAGCTTAAAACTTAAGCTAGAAAGAAGATCTTGTGGCTCAAAAATCATTTTGTCATGTGCACAAGTACCAGCAGTTCCCTGTTTATGAAGGTTTAGTGTTCAGCTCTGAATGAGAAGGTCATAGTAGTTAGCTTGTGTAAAACAAGCACTGTTATATCTTTTCAGTTAAATCATTTATAATATATATTTAAGGAAAACTTTTGTCAAATCCAGGAAGCAAAGCTTGTGGGAGGAACTTAAGAGAGTGTTGTCCAATGAAAGCAGGTATTTATATATTTGCATAAAGCCACAGTGTGTACGGTGTTACAGAAGCCAAGTTTGTCCTCATGTGTATTTTATATGCAACTGTACACGCACAATGCAATTCACTCAAGTCTTCAAAACAGCCAAAACCTTAATTCAAACAAGGAGCCAGATCGAAAGAATATGTGCAGAAGAGGAAACGTGCATAACTCAAAAGGTCAAAAAAACTAACAGGATGGCCTTTCACTTGTAAATATTATGCAGATCTGCTCATGCCTCCCACATGCACATCCTGCACACTCACACTTCTGTAAAGAGTTACACTACATTACAGTACAAAAATCCATAGAACACCACAGATGGTATGATATAACAGGCCACACTGTAGCAGACCTATAATCAATTAGTCTGCCAGCTCAGCATGAGAGACACGTTACAAATAAGAAGTTCAAACTGCCTTGGGCATCACTTAAATTAGTCCAAATATAATAAAGCCTTCAGCCTTTAGCCAATTAGGTGCTTTCTGTGTGTGTGCAGCAGGGATGATGATGATGACCTGTGAATCGCACGTGAACCAATGAATACCTCTTACTTCATGGCACTGGCCCATATTTGCATTTACACTGACAAACAGGGGTTAGTCATGCAGTGGAGATCATATTTTGTGTTTTCCCTGTTCTGACACACCAAATCAGCTATTAACAAGCCCTTCCTGAGTTGGGATGTGTGGATTAGGGCAGAAAAACTAGTCAATGTATTAAAGTTTGCAGGACAGAGGTACTCCAAGGGGTAGTTAGCTGGATAACTTAAGGCTAAACTCAAGCCCATCAAATTGCAGAAGAGGTAAGAGATGTTGCTCTTGGACAATCTTCACTTTGAGCTTAAGACAACCAGCTAATTGAGAAATCCTGCTTTGTGAAATATCTCCAAAAAAGCACCGGTCTTTAAACAGGAATTCCACATATTTTTCAAAAATGTCTGCATAATTAAATTATTAGCACGTAAACAGTGACATCCATAGTGGTTTGCTGTGCAATGCTCCGCCCCAGAGAAACTGACCCAAGACAGTAAATCAGAGTTGTTCACAGTGGTGGTCATAGGAACCAGATGTCTGAAGCACTGAATGACCCCAGAAGCTGCCTCACTGAGCTCAATTACATAAAACGGTCAGAAATATGCTGCCTGATGCAGGACATAGTTGTACCATAGTTTTTTGATAAACTTTTATCCTGAAACATAGTTTTAAAAGCTATTTATAGAGGAGAGGTATGTGCAGGATATTGTGCAGCAAAATGTTACCAAAGAAGAAAACTTTTTTGAGTGGACAGTAATTGTGTCCATGCAGAGGTATTTATTTTCTATATGAGTAATGCATTTAAAATACATTGTGATTCATATTTTGGGCATTTATGGTCAATTTAATATACAATGCAAATTGAATTTAAGTAAACACATATGCATGCATGCAAGTGACAGAGGGTGAAGGTCACGGTGTTTATGCAAAGTGGATGTGCAGTTCACATTCATTAATGAGGTCCACGCGCGCGCACGCACGTACCTGGTTGGGCTCTCCAGCCTTGAACACATGGCAGGCCATCTCGGACTCGGGGTCCTCCGGCTGGCTGCGGATGAGGTAGGCGAAGTAGCTGAGGTCGTGGCTGTTGTGGATGAACCTCGATATGAACTGCGCCTTGTGCTCGAAGATGAAGACGGACGCGTTGCTGCTGTTGGCGGGCACGCAGCGGATGAGGGGAGGGCAGAGGGACAGCTGGACCTGGCGGGCCTGAGCGGGTCCGGGCTCGTTTCTCTCGCCTCTCCTGCGGATCTCAGCCACCAGCCACGGCAGCATGGGCAGAGTGGTCCTCCTGTCCAGGGTGCACCAACCCATGTAGCACAGAGAGAAGCTCCTCTCGGGCTTCGGACTGCTGCCTTTGGTGTCATTACTCTGTCCCTCCATCTCTTCTTCTTCTCAGGCTGAGGAGGACAAAGAAGGAGAAGTAGACCAACCCGTTCTGGCAGCTCTGCTCTTCGTCACTGGGCCGAGTTTCAGCGGCGCATGGGGAAGAAGGGAAGTGTGGAAGTGGAGCGGGGCACAAAGCGACGGGCTGCTTTTCCTTTTCCTGGCTGGCAGACTGAGCTCTGCCTCGCTTCACTCACAGTCTTTGGTAGAAGAGTGGAAAAGTTAGTCTAACACTAACACGGCGGCTGCAGGACTCGTCCTTCACGTAGCTGGAAGAAGAAATAAGGCTCTCTTTTAAAGACACAGCCGTGTCCGTCTTTCTTCAGACAAAGTGAAGAAGAGATCAGTTTCAGTAAATAAGCATCCATTCAGACGGGCTGCAGCTCCAGCTCAGCCGTTCAAGTCAGTAAGGCACCGAAACGTGGCGTCTCAGGGTGTAAACACACACACACACACACACAGAGAGAAAGAGCAGCACGAAGGAAGGAGGGAGTCTCCAGTCTTCTCTTCTCCTCCTTTCCTCTCCTCTCCTCACACATACAGGAGCTGTTATGGTGAACTAGAGCTAAAATCCTTTAAAAACGCTACTTTCTTTCTCGCTCTTTCGTCCTGAGCAGCTCATTCTTGGCCATTTTTGACAACAGCCCAGCGTCGTCCTCTCCTCCCCCACCGCTCAGCTCCTCAGCTCCTGTGGGCGTGGCCGCGGCGGAGGCGTTAACCTGATGGCATGTGGATCGAGGGATGGTCCCTCCCACCACACGTGACTAATAATGCCCCGCCCCTCTCTCGCTATCTCGCACACACAAACACAAAATCAGGTTTGTATTTCTATCCTAGTGGGGTTTTGACGTAGCGTTCCAAAACGCATTATAAAGCACTTTCAGGGGTTTTCTGTTTTTAATGATATACATTGTTTGGAGAGAAATTACACATACAAGAAATATCAATGCTATATAACACTCTTAAAAAGAGGGTTCTTCAAGGATGCTTTATTAAAGAAAGTGGGCCTCATTCACCAATATCTTCCTAAGTTTTTTCTTAAATCTGTTCTAATAAGAAAAAGTCCACATCAGATTGATGACGTGTTCTTAAACCATACAACTGTTCAGACCTTTGTGCTCGAGTGTGTAGATTCTGTTCTTCCCTAAGAACAAATCCCAAATAAAAAAAAACATTGGTGAATGTCAGATTCTTCATGAAAACTGTGTGGGTGGGTTTTAAGAAGAAATTTCTTCTTAAGAAGGCTTGGTGAGTGAGGCCCAGTGGTTCTTTATAGATCCATGAACACTCAAAGAACTATTTGCATGCTTAAATGATTCGCTGCATGGTGAAATGGTTCTTCAGATTGATGTGTTGCATATGGTTATATATATAGAACCTTTTTCAGAATGGATCTATACAGCATCAATATTCTGTTGTTACAAGCTTGACATCTTAACAATAGAAGCCTTAAAAAAACATTGAGTTTTCATGGTTCGATATAGAACCATTGTCTTTACTAAGAACCATCGAAGAACCATCTTTTTTGAGAGTGTATGACTATTATCACCTTTATTACAGAAGAACAAATGTTTTTGCATTATACATCAGCAGTTATTCTTTTTAAAAACGTGTTATATTCAAAATCGTTAGCAACAGGTATACAGCATTTTGGAATAAAACCGGTTCTGTATTCTGTCAGAGGTGGAAAACTCTTAAAGTGATCGTACTTGTTAATATACGTAAAGGGTTATTCTCCTTTTTTCAAAATGTTTGAAAAATGTAATCATTAACATGCAAACAAAGTCATGCAGAGTGGTTTGACTCGAAATGCGGCACTGCACAGAAACTTACAGAGTCAGAATTGTTCACAGTGGTGGTGATAGGAACCAGACATCTTAAGTGTTTAATGCCTCTTGAAGCTACTTCCTCACTTAGTTATTACGCAAATGGTTAAGAATGCATCGTTTGATGCATGAGACATTGTTTTATGAGAGTTTGAGATTAAATGTTGGCCTAAATCTTATTTTTTAAATACATGAAGGGCAAAATAAGGCAAAATAATACCAGAAGAAAACATATTTACAGATTTACATCTATTTTGCCATCATCAACATTACATTTAAAACAGAAGACATGTGTAGGTTCACTGGTCATTTTGTATTGCAAAAAACAGTTATATTTTAGGCATTATGACCTCTGGTTTCAATCACTACCACCATAAAGAAATCAGTCAGTAAGTTTTTCTACAATGAAGCATTTTAAACCACTGACCACTGCATTTTGTTTTACTAAAACATCTAGTCAAATTCCTATGAATATTAAATTAAACTGCCCGCAGCTATGCTAATTTGTGCAGACTTGTTAGCATGAATGACACAGACTGTGTCAGCTGGTCTAGCATCAAGGTAAGGCTGTTCAAATGGGGCCTGTGGACCTAACGCATATTTTTGGCTGCACACTTCCACTCTGAGTAAGACTGTGACAGAGTACCGATACATTTAAGTACAGTTTCTCTGTTCTTTTTCCACCCTTTTCAGATAAAAGAGATTTTTTGCCAAATGCCCCCATTTCACTGAAATTTTTTATGTTTCCCAATCATCCTCAGGGTATTTGGTTCCAACAAAGAACTAAATACATGACCACATACACACACACCCTGACACACAGGCCTGTGGGTTTGACCCTGGAGAACAGAAGTATCTGTAAACATGCACGTAGAGCAGGTGTTCTGCACGGCAGAGAATAGAGGAAAAGAATACATGCTTTATATAGAGTAGTAGTGTTATTCATTAAAACTGACTCAGACACAAATATGTAAACAATTGCTTATATTTGACTTATTCATTGTTAGCATCCAATAAAACATTATATGGCATAGTAAAAATTTACTTTAATTCTAGGGGAAAAACATTAATAATAATATTACATGATTTGACAGCTTTGTTGACAGGAGATAACTGGTATCTATTAATTTCCACCCAGCTCTTTGTAGTGGTGTATGCTGAGGTAGTGTGAAGCATGTTGTCATGAACAGCGCACACAGTCAAATAAAAAGGGCAGGCAAGAGTGTTAATATTTGAATGGTTTTGTAATCCAACAGCTGTTATTTTATATGCTTACTGACAGAAGTTTCCTTTATTGTACCTTACTGTGTGTGTGTGGAGCTCTACAAGTAAAAATCAGTTGAATGGTATTTTTTTTCCTCCTCATTCAAGTTCAACATTATTGGACTCATGTTACATTTATTTGAATAAACTGACACATGATATTTCAGCTCTGGAGGTTCATTTTTATAAGCCAGGTGTTCTTTATACTCAAAACATAGGCAGCATTTATCAAGGCCAATAGAGTTAGCCCTGAATGCTGCTAGTGCTCTGCATGTAACAAGATGCCATGGATGCAAGCTCTCTCAGTCCCAGAAATAGATAAAATATGCAGTACATGTAACCTCATCAGAGCCACCCTGTGGCCTTGGGGCCTACCACATCTGCAAGAGCTCCTGTTCCAGGTGCATGCTTTTGGGTTGCCACAATCAGAATATAACAAATGTTACATATATATATATATATATATATACACACACACACACTTATTTTACACTGTTTCCTCACTCCATCTGTAGACTTAATCAAACAGTAAAGGGAAGGCACTTCAGCTATTAAGGGCTTAAACAGACATACTGTATATTACCATCGAAAGTGCATGATGTCCAATCATCAACATGGTTGCTGGGAATGCACCAATCCAGTATACTGGATAAGTAACAGCACCTATACTGACCTTATTAATTGGATTGGATATTGCTCAGACGTGAACAATCTACATTCTATACAGTTTTTTAGTCACAGTCCTTATAAAATTGTAACAGTGCATTACCCAGCTTACTTTTTTTAAGCCACATTTTGAGTCCAAGTCAAGTCTAAGACCATGACCAGTCGAGATTGTTGAGTCTAAAGGGGGCCGAGACCAAGTCCAGATGAGAGCGAGACTGAGTCAAGATGAAGACCCCCCAAAAAGTCTTTAACTACTTCTGTCCAAATTTTTTTAATTGTTTGTCACATGACTTTATGAAGTCATTAATAAGTGAGCCGTACCCCTACAGATTCCCTTGGGAAAGCAGAATTTACACTTTAATTTGGTTATACTGTTTAAAGCTACAATATGTAAGATTCAGGGATTTGGAGACCTCTCTGGTGGTGATTTCACACAATGTGCAGATGAATATTTTGTAACGTCAGTTGTGCTTCAGCCCATTTCCCCAAGCAGATGAATCTGATGCTTGCGATCACGTTGAAAGGCCTGTTAAAGAGAACTCAGTCAAAACTTGGTGAAGGACGTGTCTTCTGAAGATGTAATGATCTACTATTGACATCATATCGTCATCAGTATAATGTTGCTTTCGCATTTGGGATCTGTTCTTTTTGAGTCTGTGTGCGTGATGTTAATACATAAAGATATCTGACGTGGTCCGAAAAACTGAATAAACGCCCCTGATTTTTCAAAGATCATTTCACACTTTACAGGGTGACTCACAACAGCAACTTGGTTGCAAGTCAGTTGCCATTGGTGACAGTTAAAAGAAAGGAAATACAAACAAATACTTCTAAAGGCAGCTGGTCTTGGTCGAGACCAGAGACTAAATTTGGTAAGACCAATGACAAGACACTGCAAGTACACAACAAATTTGAGACAACAGTAAAAGGCCAAGACTGGACACGAATACTAGAGTACCACCTTACACATCAAATAATGATCCCAGGCAATTCCATACAACAAGGTATACTTTGAAGGAAAGAAAAGAACACTGGTATCAGATTGCTACCTAGCATCGTCCGATTTTCAGAATTCAGGTCTCAAAACTGGTATCAGCAGAGAATATGAGATCAGTGGATCTCTCAGTCCGCCAGTTGATTTTTCAAGGTTAGGATTAATGCAAAGATAAAATAAGAAAATTCCATGGTACTGTACTATATGGATGCACAATGTTTTATACTGATTATATAGTAGTAACTGCAGGAATGGCAATTAACAGTAATTAGTACATCTAGTATATTAGTAGTAATACAGAGTCTTACAGTGCGCTCCACAGAAAATGCATGAATTGTCAGGTTGTATAGTTGGCTTTTGTCAAAGCAATAACAGTCAGACTATGTGATTCACTATAAACACAATGTTGCACTATTTGTGTTTTTGTTATGTTGCAATATCTGTACTGAATGTATTAATCAAGGATGTGTGAGATGGAAATGAATGCTCTTTCAAAAAAGTCCAACAACCAAAAAGATGTACTGCATTTACACATCTATGCCTGTTTAAACCATCTCTAGAAATATGTCAAAAGCTCTCATGTGAGCAGCGCTCTCTTTGGAGAAATTTAAGGGAACCTGTTTAGTGGGAATCACATGATACTGTTTTAGACCAGTTACAATTGCTTAATTATATTATAAATGCAAGCACCATTCATTATGTTTGGGTTGACAGTGTAACCTCCGGTATTTCTGAAAATCATTTAAGCAAACAGTAGTTTCATTGAAAGATCTTTATTCGCTGCTCTTCAGATACTGCTCTGGGAAAGCATGCAAAGCGAAGTGTATTATTATAAGCGCAAACATACCATAGCCAAATATCCCACAGCAGGGCTGTCAAATAGCACAAATAAATAACAAAACACACTGAATGTAAACAATTGGTCAATACTGAAGTTTTCTACACGCAACCATAAAAATAGTGGCCACCTGGAGTTGAGTGCTTACACAGTCTCCAAAACAGACGCCATTTCCTTGAATTGTCTGAAGAAGTTCTGAAGTGAAAAAGAAGCAAACAAGAAAGGTAAATACATTTTTTGGCAGGCAGTCTTCGTCTGATTACTTTTCTGAATAACAGAGATGACTGTAGCAAACCTGGAACTGAAGAACCGTCATCTCAAAGGACTTATAAGAAATTTCTCCGGATGTGTTTGCAATTTTCATCAAGATGGAGATGTATGGGGAGTTGAGGGAGCGACATGTGTCAGAGCTCACAGCCATGCCCAGCTTCCACTGTATATCCACCAGCTAAGATTAGAGAGGTGTTGTTACACTTGATGATCTTATAAATGTATACAGAACTTCTGAGCATCAAAATAAAGCCATAAGACGCCCTCGATTATCACATTGCAAATAGCCTAAAACTGTGACAAATTTGAAATTCAATGACTAGTTTGTTATTAATAATAATTACAATAATTTATTCTTCCACCAAACAATATAGATTGTTAAAGGGCCATGTAACTATCACTACATCTGCTATGAACATGCATATTAACATCTTGAGCATAACTGCAGCAAACTCTAGAGAGAGCTTTTCTGCTTGAAAGACCAGGAAAACACCTTTGTTTGTGGAGGAACTTTTGAAAAAACACAACTGCTTTGGTATGATTTTTTATGGGTGGGCTGTTTTGAAATGTTTTCTCTAGGGTGAAACAAACATTTTTTGTTTTTGTTTATAATTTTCTTTAACAACTGAAGAAAGAGGTATACTAATGCTGCACTAACTAGCCTGGATGTATTTATTAGCCTACAGCTCAGTGACTAGGAGTCACCAACAGTCTGGACTGTTTGATATCACAGGGTAGGAGTGGGTAATATGGCCAAAATATTATATCACGATACTTAAATACATGATGCATGTCACAATACGATTTGACACACAGACACAGTCCACATGTAGTGCCTAAAAACTACCATTAAAAACTTTATTTAATATTTACTATGCAGTATACTATTCTGCACTAAAACCATTTGAACAGGAAGCTTTCAATCAGTGTTTTTAATGAAACATGCACTTGATCAGTGTTCTTTAAGTACTGACTATATCCATGACATGCTCAGAACAGCATATTGTGTGTCACAATAATAAAATAGTAAGGGAACACTGATGAGTGAAAACATGAAAACGATATAAAATTGTGAATTCTATCAAACCAGTGAGGCTAAAGGATATAATGCTGCACTTCAAAATACTGCTTAACACCACAAATGACATATGAAATGCTTGTTTTAAGCTAGAATGTCTCTTTAATTGTAGGATGTGGTTTGCCAAGCAAAAAAATCTATATAAAATAATCTAACATTATTCAATGATTCTATCAGCACAATGTCTTTTTGTTCTTCTAACCTGGCACATAATTCAACTTTTGATATGGCTCAACCAATCAGATGTCAGAACTGGAACTATCCATTTTACGTAGCGTAATTTTAATCATGTGAATTACCTGTCCGATGGTGGCCATGGCTTGGGCCTCTTGGTGTGTTTGTACAAGAGAGCCATTTTCAGTCCACAGCTGATGCACCACTTGTAGTGCTGGTTTGGACCATTTACAGCTTGCCTCACCTAATTTACTGATCAGGAGATCAGCAGTGAGCTTGCTCTTCGCAGCTGATCTATAAGAAATCACAAGTAAAAAAAGAAGTCAACGCATAAACTTGCCAACAACACACACTGCTGACAAAACTATGATAATCCATGTCACAAGCAGCAACGACAGCATTTGCCAGAGTGATAACATGTACACAAACAACTCTATTATCAAAATCAGTCTCACCTTTGACACAAATATTAAAGTAACGAGACAGCATGTCCTGCTCTCTGGGAGGGCCATGAGCCATGTGCTCGGCAAGATCACTTTCTCTACGTCTGATATTATATGAGAGGCTTTCTCTATTCTTACGGTCTTCGTGTGCATATACTGTATAGCCAGTCATGTAGCTTGATTTTCTACAGATCTCACACTATAAAGAGTCATTTTATTCTTTTTAACATTATTCACTAATAACTTGCAATATGTATTCAAATAATATACAATCGTATGCAAAAGTTTGGGTGCATGACATGTTTTGTTGATGTTCTATGTGAAAATAGGTTAACACATCCTCTACAGAGAACACATTTCTGCACATTTAACATATTGGAAAAAATAATAAACATAAAATGTGACCTGTGCAAAAATAATAGCACATTTTATATTTAATGTTTTATTTTTTTCCAATATGTAAATAAGCAGAATTTGTGCACTAAAATGTGCAGAAGTGTGTTCTCTGTAAAGCATGTGACAACTTACTTTCACTTAACATCAACAAAACATGTCATTTGACCGGCAGTGTTCAAACTTTTGCATATGAGGGAGACAGACAGACAGATAGACAGGCTTTACCTAAAATTAAAGGATAACAGCCTTATAATATCCTGAACTGACTTCCAATCAAGGTTTATTCCAGCTCTCTGAAATCTCTGTTGTGGAAAAGAGAGAACAGTCACTATGTGGAAGATACAATTTCAGTGAAAATCTGTAAAAATTTAACTGTGGCGCAAAAACTTACCTGGCAGTTTTCTACCAAATCTACTGCACTACTCTTTCCTTGAAGATGAAGCAGAATCTCATGACACTGGAAAAGTTAAAAGATCATAATCAGTTCTGTAGCCTACATAAAAGCCTGCCCACAATGCCAAACAGGCTTTGTGAGATAATAAATCAAATGACAAAGATCACTCTTTTATAATCAAAAGACCAAACAGGACACAATCAGTTCTTACTGTTTCTGCAAATACTTCTGATGGCAGTTTTCCAATGTTCTCAACCACTGTATCCACATCTGGAAGGAAATATTTTTTTAGCTGTTTCTGAGTGGGTTTGCTTTGTTAATCACTGAGGTGGCTTTTCCAAAAGCACTGCAGCTTCCAAAACTGCAGGTCATTCTTAAGAGACTTCGATGAAACTAATGAATGTTTACCATTTTAGGACTTTTAGGAAGACGCTAAAGTGACAGTGATAAATTGCTCTATGTTTGTTTAGTTCAGGGTCAGTGACTAGTTGCATAAAGGGTTCATAGACGTTATACCAAATAACCGTGCAATGCAATTACTAAACAGAATAAAACCAGTGTTAATAATACTGCAGTAATAACTGAATTATGATTATATACACCGATCAGCCGCAACATTGAACCCACTTCCTTGTTTCTACACATTGACCATTTTATCAGTTTCAGTTACTGTATAGGTTCACATTGTTGTTCTACAATTACATAATGCAGTCCATCTGTTTCTCCGTGTACTTTGTTGGCTCTTTCATCCTGTTTTACAATGGTCAGGACCCCTCAGGACCACCACAGAGCAGGTACTATTTGGGTGGTGGATCATTCTCAGCACTGCAGTAACACTGACGTGGTGGTGGTGTGTTAGTGTGTGTTGTGCTGGTACGAGTGGATCAGACACAGCAGTGCTGCTGGAGTTTTTAAACACTGTGTCCACTCACTGTCCACTCTATTAGACCCTCCTACCTTGTTGGTCCTGCCTTGTAGATGTGAAGTCAGAGACAGTAGCTCATCTGTTGTTGCACAGTTGGTCATCCTTCATCAGTGGTCACAGGACGCCGCCCACAGGACGCTGCATATTTCTGGTTGGTGGACTGTTCTCAGTTCAGCAGTGACACTGAGGTGTTTAAAAACTCCAGCAGCACTGCTGTGACTGATCCACTCGTACCAGCACAACACACACTAACACACCACCACGTCAGTGTCACGCAGTGCTGAGAATAATCCACCACCCAAATAGTATCTGCTCTGTGGTGGTCCTGTGGGGGTCCTGACCACTGAAGAACAGGTAAAAGGGGCTAACAAAGTAACGTTAGGCAGAAAAACAGATGGACTACAGTCTGAAATTGTAGAACTACAAAGTGCATCTATATGAAAAACATGAATGTGTGGAGCTGACAAAAGGGACAGTGTTACGGCTGATCTGTGTAAGTTACATTCTGTCTGCCAAATGTTTATGTTTGGCAGGCAAGTTAGTAATCAGGAGATATTTTCTCTGCACAGCTGCTACAAACCACGCAATAGAAAAAGGTTCATTCTTCATATCAACTCACCAGACGACAGCTCCACTCCGACCATCACTGCAGAGAGCTGATCTGACTGATCTGACTCCGGAAAAAAACGAGACTGCAGTCAGCACTCGATTACAGACTGGACAGTTCTAGGAGTCCAGAATATTCCGAGTTAGAGCTTCGTTTCTACATCGCAAATATCATCTTTTTAAATTTAAAATAAGAGATAAACAAGTGTATTTGACTGATCTTCAACAAACCACGTAGCTCCTGTTTCCGCATACGTCACTGGATCCCTCGCTGATTGGCTGATTTCTGAACAGTTTTCTCTCTCTCTCTCTCTCTCTCTCTCTCTCTCTCTCTCTCTCTCTCTCTCTCTCTCTCTCTCTCTCTCTCTCTCTGTGCATGTTAACCTGTTCGTGTCCAAAATGTGCTAAACAGTGTATCGGGAAACTGCTGCAAAACATTGTCTAAAGCAGGGGTGCTCACATTTTTTGTCTTGGAAGGCCAACGTGTAATGTTTGGTGTGGTCCACTCCAAAAGACAAAAAGACAAACAATACACAAAATGGTTAAAAAAGCATTTCAGAATATTATATATAATATTTACCTTTATTTAAATACTTAAAATACACAATATAATACAATCAAAATAATACAATTCTGAATTAAAAAGAATAATTTAATAAATTATACATAGTACAAATACATAATTGGAAGGTGATGGGGAGACGTGGCAGGCCAACTCAAACATCCTCGCTGGTCAACTTAGGATAGGCCTGGACTAAAACGATGAGATTTTGTATAGATTAACTCTGGATGAACAGCGAACAGTAGGCATTTTACCTGAACCTTTATTGACAGTCAGTTTTGATTTGTTTAAATTCACAGTGTCATGTCAAAGGACTGGATTAATACGATAAATGAATTGATATAATCTCACATTTTAGCCATGTTTGATCATTAGACAGGTTTGTGCCCAGGCAGTCTCAGAATGTGTAGCCTAAAAGAAATTAAAATGTTAGAAATGGACATAATAAGAAAACGTGATTTCAGTGTCCGAACTTTTTTATGTAATTGTCAGTGAATCGTCAGTAATACTGCAATTTAATCTCGAGGCTTAATCTTTCTGTTTAGGTTCTTAAAGTTTAGACATTTTAGCATCGAAACCCTTCTAATTCTGCTCAAACTCTCCGTCGTTTAAATTTGCCGTCGTGTCTTCACTGAGCCTGTAGCGCCACCTGCTGTCTGGAGTTTTTCAGTACCGCTCTTTAGACTCGAGCTGTGTCCACACGCTGCTGTACTGTACACACTGTAATAATGAATGAGCTACACGGTCGTGTAACGTGTTTGACTTACTATTTAGTGTGTGTGTGTGTGGATGCAGCAAAGCACTATTTACCAGAACTGACTATCTACCAGAACTAATTATCTACCAGAACTATCTACCAGAACTATCTACCAGATCTAACTGTCTACCAGAACTATCTACCAGAACTAACTATCTACCAGAACTATCTTACCAGAACTAACTATCTACCAGAACTATCTACCAGAACTAACTATCTACCAGAACTATCTACCAGAACTATCTACCAGAACTAACTATCTACCAGAACTATCTTACCAGAACTAACTATCTACCAGAACTATCTACCAGAACTAACTATCTACCAGAACTATCTATCAGAACTAACTATCTACCAGAACTAACTACCAGAACTAACTATCTACCAGAACTATCTACCAGAACTAACTATCTACCAGAACTATCTACCACTGTCTACCAGAACTACATCTACCAGAACTATATCTACCAGAACCAACTGTCTACCAGAACCAGGGTACATCTGTATATCTGTGTGAAACATGATGGTCTATTTTTAATACCACATAATTATTCTAGTGTACTTCCAGGCTTCAGAAATATAAAAAAGAAGAAAGGAAGAAAGAGTCTTAGTCTCTAACCATAACTAAATGGTTAACATGTCAACAAAGTGTGTGTTATGACAAACAAAATGGTTTGGTGTGAGAAACTTACAGTCAGAATTGTTCACAGTGGCAGTGATAGGAACCAGACATCTGAAGAGTTTAATGCCTCCAAAAACCCTCTCACAGCGTGAAATGGTTGTGAATACACTGCTTGATGTACTTTTTGTACTTTAGTGACAACATTTTGATCTAAAATATATTTTATTCAATTTATTTTAATCCATTCAAGGCAGGTGAATACATGAATGGTGTTCTAAGGCAAAATAGTCCCCAAAGAAAACTTTTTTGTGACTATTTTACCACCATCAATGTTACATAAAGACTCAGAACACGTGTAGGTTCACTGGTGGTTTTGAATAGTTAATAAAAAGGCTGTATCTGCATTGCAGATATTGTGACCCCTCGTTCCCATCACCACCACTGTAAAGAAATCTGAGTCTGTAAGCTTTTCTGCAAATGAACCATTTCACACCAAATCAGTCTGAATGACTCTGTTTGTATATCAACCACTGAATTATTCAGAAAGTATGAAAAATCTGTGGAATTCCCCTTTAAGATGACACAGGAAAACTGTCATTTATACAGGTTTGTAGAAGCACTGTAAATCTGCATAAAGGGAGCGGCTTGTGTAATAAGTTACCGACGGCTCAGCAGCCTGCAGGTAGAGTTTCATCATAATGAAGCTACAGAGTGGAAGGGAAGGAGGCTAATGTGAACGGAGATGAGTCTGTTGGGTGATCATGAATCTCCTGAAGATGAAATTTCAAATGGAAATGACTGTCAGAGGTAAGTTATATATACATATATGTTTTAATACTTCCAAGTCTTTCCTCATTTTAACTCTGTTTATAGGCTTTATCACCACCAGCAGAGCAAGACGCTGAGCACTATCACCTGTGCGTCAGATGATGTGTTCATGACCAACAGGTCATTGCCTACTTGTTGTCGCTTTAAATTACATTCTTTACCCCTTTAATAGCTTTTATTATTATTTTTAGGCCTTGTGCTGTTTTGATGATTACACTCTTAAAACAGATGGTTCTTCAAGGGTTATTTAGCAAAGACACTGGAACCATGAGTACCATATCAAATCATTTCATGCTTAAATGGTTCTTTCTATGATGAAATGATTCTTCAGATTGATAGAGAATGTGTTGTATATGGTTCTATATAGAACCTTTTTGAAAATGGTTCTATATAGCACCAAAAAGGGTTCTTCTATTATTACAAGCTTGACATTGTAACAGTAGCAGAATCCTTTTTTGCTCTTATATATAGAACCATTTTCAAAAAGGATCTACATGTTTTCCACCAATCTGAAGAACCATGCTAAAAAACTATTTAAACATAAAATGGTTCTATGCAGACTCTTAAAAAAGGGTTCCTCAAGGGTTCTTTAGTAAAAAAAAAGGTTCTATATAGAACCATGAACACTCAAAGAACACACTGCATGATGAAAGGATTCTTTGCATCATGAAAGTGTTCTTCAGATTGATGGAGACTGTGCTGTAGATGGTTCTATCTCAAACCTTTTTTGTAAATGGTTCAATACAGCACCCAAAAGGGTTCTTCTATTGTTATGATGTCAAGCTTATAACAATGGAAGAACCCTTTTCAACATCTATAGCACATTCATGCACATATTCCATCAATCTGAAGAACTCTTTCATGATGCAAAGAACCCTTTAATAATGCTTTCTTTGAGTGTTCATGGTTCTATATAGAGTATAGAAAAATCAAAGTTTATGTCATAGTTAAAGCACATGCTTGTCTTTCTTGTCTTTTTATTATAAACAAGTGATGCAGTTTTAACTGAAACAATTAGATGCCAAAAATGTTGCCGCCCTACAAGATTAAGAGATTATACTTTCCCTCACAATGTAGAGTAGACCAGTATGGATTCAAACAGCCTGATGACTTGAACCATGAATCCTGTGAGGAGATGATGACTGAGTACTTAACCATGCTCTCCAGAAGATCAGTGAAGTGGTCCAGACTGTTAAAAGAGAACACCAAGGTAGAGAAGAATCTGAAAGGTGGGCTCAACACCCCCCACATACACACGCACACAGAATTCTGTTTTGTTGTCATATACACACACACACATGCTAATCTCTTATAGTGAGCTCCTGTGTGTTTGTGGTTGGCAGTGAAGCGGTATGTGAGAAAAGGAGTCCCTAATGAATACCGGGCTCTGATCTGGATGGCAGCCAGTGGAGCCCAGCAGCATCTGCAGATGAACCACGGCTATTACCACTCTCTTCTGAAGGCTCGGCATGACCACCACCTGGAGCAGACTATACGCACTGGTCAGTCTCTCCTGTCTGAAAGATCAGTGTAACCTGTAACCACTTTCTTGATGCTGTAGGTAGGACTGGGTATCGAAATTCAGTGGTGCCAAACTAATTACTTTAGCGCAACTGAGGGTTAAAAAATTCTGGATCATTTGTGGGGCTTTGAAGTTCGTTAAAAGCAGGTATCAAAATTAAAGCATATTTCAGGGATCAGCTCCAAAGTCAAAATATTTTGACCACTACACAGCTCTAGTTGTAAGCCTGCTTTCCACTCATACTAACACTACTGTAAGAAAAACAGCCCCAGATGTTGACTTTCCACCTCTGTGCTTTACAGTAGCCTTAGTGCAGTCTGGTTGGAATTCTTCTCCAGGGGTTTCTCCACACACAGAGTCTACCATCAGTTTGACAAGTTTTTATTTGAAACAAGTATCATTTTGTTAAACATTTCATAAAGAAACAGGAAAAACTTCATTCAAGTGCTTCTGTTACTTGCAAACTTGTAGTACTTTTATCACAACTCCACTATTCAGAGCAGCCCAGAGACAGTGGGGTTCATCTTTTGAGTCTTGGTTCCTCTCAGTGTTTCGTCTTTATGCTCTCTGGAAGTTTTTGCAGCAACTGTCACTCATGGCTTGTTCATTTGAGGGTTTGGATATTTCTAAAGCTGCTTTGGAACAATATCAGTTGAAAGAGATTGACTTGAATTGAATGAAAAAAAATGTCAGCATCGTTGTGACAAACTGCAACTGACACAGTGCTTTTCAGCTAGATAAGTATGAAAACAACAGTGTCTCAATATACAGTCACATGCAAAAGTTTGGGCACCCCTGGTCAAATGACATGATTTGTTCATTTGTTTTGATTTATTGATTTGTGAAAATAAGTTGACACATCCTCCACAGAGAACACACTTCTGCACAATTTTAATGCACAATTATTAATTATTGTTTATTTACTGAATTTAACTTAAAAAATAGAACAAATGTGCCCTGTGCAGAAGTTATGCCATGTTTTATTTTTCCAAT